AACATTGTGACACGATAATTTTATATATAAGATATTTTTGGTCTCTAATTATTTTCCGTGATCTATAGTTTTGTCGTCATCGTCGGGTGCGGTTTACGTTCCGAAAATAATGTTCTTTTTGACACAATACTTACGATGTGGATCTTGACGATTTCGTAATAAATACACGATAACAATATTATACGTACTTAACGATTTGTTGTAATAATTATTGTATCGCGACGATTGTGTTACAACTTATGACTAAAGTTTTGTACTACATTTACTTATTAGATATAATGAGAATTTTTTTAAGGGTTTATAGAGAATATTATCATCATATTTTAGATGTTTTAAAAGAATATAAATCCGGTCTTTAGTTATGACGTTCGCGTGTGTATGGCTATCCAGTGATAAACTCCGGAGAAATCTATAATCGAGGCCGCGGTAAATATTATCTATCGCGTTTAACCTTTAATAAGAATATTATTTGTCTTTTATTATTAATATTATAGAAAATGAAATATTCGACGTCTAGTATTTATCCAATTAATGAAATTCGTAGACAATTTTTTTTTTCTATTTATCGACATTCAAACAAAACGAAAACGGTGAGATACCGAATTCGACTAAATACAGAAATATAAAAACATTATGAGCTAGAATACTTAATGTTCCTTGCACAACGATACTGTATTTTTTTTTTATTCCTAGAGACCGGGGGGCACAATTCTAATTAAAAATTTGAGGTTGCTAAAGCCCCCTAGGAAAAAAAACCTAGATGGATCACCTGGTATGTATTTCGATGACTATTAAATCTACACTGTTACACAAGCACCACACCCGTCCACAGTATCTAATTTTTCAAATATTTGTATTTCGTCACTATACTGGTAAAAATGTGTTTTGGTTGGAGTTCATGTTATACGTTTTGTTTATGAATATGTGCGAACAAATTCATACAGTAAATTGAAATTCTAAAATTAATATTTGGGTAGTTGTTTTTATCGGTGTAGTCATAATATGACTACATATTATGTAGAAACCAAAAAATTAACGAAAAAAAAAATGTGAAATTCAAAAATTCTGCAAGAACCTCGTGGCTCGTGTACAGAAATTGAAATAATTACAAAAATCACACTACGCGTTGTTTGCAGATTACTGTCTGTCCGCTTTGTGTCCAAAATTATTTTGTTGTTTTTAACAATTTTCAAAAATCATTTAGGATTGAAGAAAAATGATTCAAAAAAATTTCCACTGAACGATATGGAAGTTTTATATAATTTACTTTTATGAATTATTAATCTCCAATTTATTTTATATTTCCTTAACTATTGATTATACCATTTGTATTATTTATTAGAACACTGAACATTTTTTATTCACAATACAGGTATTTTATTGTATTTAAAAACGGTAATTCGCATTAATTCCTTAATTAGTGTCTTAGGTATTTATTGTAATCTCTCCGTTAGCCTGTGCTTCTGTTCGCTAACAACTAAATAATAAGACACTTGTCGATAAAAATGTAAAATTAACTACGCAGAGCGAATTAAAGTCTTATGGAAATACATGTTTTATATAGTACGTACCATCAACTGATGGTGCCACTGTTGTTTGTGTACATTTTTGAAAGTTATACATTAGAAAATGTCCGAGTTAGAGCTCAAACTCGCAGGGTTGGTGTAAAACTCATGAAAATATCTTGTTTACATATTTCGCACTACGGGTAGGCTATTGTTGTAGGATAGAATTTGGGAATGACACATTATATCATATTATGCTTAATGCCAGTGGCGGCGTGAACTTTTATTTTATGAGGCAAATATAGATTTTAGAGATTGACCACCACCACCTAGGTGTTATTAGACAGAGTCGTGGGGACGAAGCCTCCACACATCGTCCCTCCTATCTTCACCGATTTACCATTCCACAAATATATAAATTAAGTAATGATGGTTTTTTATTTCATTAATAAAAAAAATTAATAAACTTGGGCACTCATATATTTTAATAACACATTATAATTTTTTTTTTATTTTGCTATCCGTAAATATAAGAGAACACTAATCTAATGACCAAAACGATGAACTATGTAAAACATGTAACTTTTAATCGACAGAGTTTAGGAGGCTGTGGGATTTTTTTTAAATTAACAAATCATCAATTTTATTTTATCTTCTTCGTAAAAATTCTGGTTTATTGAAATGCTTGCTGGTTTCCTTAACACTGAATATTTAATACATTAAAGTTAAAGTGAATTAGTGAAATAAAATATATTAATATAAATATTAAATATATACTTACTCTATATGAAAAACAATAAACTTTTATTTAAACAATAAAGTATTAGTTGGCAATAATTCATATTTTTAGCTTAGGGGTATCACCACCCAATTGGTCATGAGGCCATCGTCTTATGAAATACTCTATCGCACCACTACTGCTTAATACTTATTAATTCTCATTTATATACCTACCTACTTGCATATTATTTTTTATTTATAAAATTGTTAATCTAGTTGTCTAACGACTATGAAAATTAATACCTACGATTATTGAATAATAAAAACCACTACGAAAGTAATAAATTAACATTAATATTATTGTATACATTATACTTCTAACTATTAATTATATTATTAAATATAATTTATCTATTTTACACTATTATTGGCCAAAATGTAAATTTAAAGTGCTTATAGATTAATACAATAAAATACCTGTATTGTGAATAAAAAATGTTCAGTATTCTAATAAACAATAAAAATGGTATAATCAATAGGTAAGGAAATATAAAATAAATTGGAGATTAATAATTTAAAACAATATATATAAATACAATTTAATTAAATTTCCGTGGAATCACCTTTTCCCAGACTAACAAGCGAATGTGACGTCGGGCTAATCTGACCCCCTGCAGTCATATTTGCTAGGAGTCTTATTCGCCCGTTATAAATGTTTTCCTATGTTTTTCCCGATTTTCCCATGTTTTTTCCCGATTTTTCACATTTGCTGGGAAAATTTTTGGGAAATTCAAAAAATGACATCTTTAATATATCTCTCCAGTCAGATTTCCTTTTAGAAAAGGGTCTAGATCGTATACAGTGAAGTAATTTTTTTGGTAGAACAGGTATTAAACGTTTTAAGCTCAAATTTTGACGAAAAACATTAAAATTATGATATTTTAAAACGTATAAACGAACTTGACGCAGATTCGTATTTCGTTTACAATAGTTTATCGTTCTTTACAAATATAATTTAAATAAATTTCCCACATACAACAATAGCATATCAGTCCCCAATATCTGCTCTTTTTTTATATTTGTATTTCGGTATCATACAGATGAAAATGTGTTTTGGACGATATTCATGTTTTTAAGTGTTTGTATGTGAATATATGTAAAAAAATCTTATAACTCCAAAACTAATATTTGAGTAGTTGTTTTTCTCGGTTGTAATCATACACGGAATCCAAGAAATCTATGAAAAATATGTAAAAATGCACAATAGTCGTAAAAACAATCCGACAGTAATTATTATTGTCGGATTCGAGCCTGAACACATGAAATTCCGTGCTAAGCTACTAGGATACGTAGTAACGATCAAATACCTAGATATATATATATATAAAATAGTGAATGTCTTCAACCAGTCAATTGTAGCAGCATATTCAGGTATAGCGTTAGAACTAAAGATGTTTTTCAAATACGCGTACCGTACATATCTGCGGTACGGCTACGATGATCGTGCCAAACCGATTTGGGGTGACCAATTCAGTTTTTTAACGATGACGGCTACGAAAAGTCTTTTACTGGTCCAGTTGATAGTACTTATGGCCGTATGGCCCGGAGTCTCTGGTAGTTGGTACCAGACCATCGAAAATCCGTACACGTTATTCGGCACGAAAACCACATACAGCGATGTGTCGGGCGAAGGTTTTCACTTTCCGTCAGGTACGTGCCTTCTATAAATTATAATATTTTACGAAACATTTTAAATTTCGATTTTCCCGCAGCATAAGCGCAATTTAAATTTTCAGCTTAAATACTTTTTTTTTGCTGTGTAATCAATTCATCAGTTTTCCGATAAATTTCCGATCATCCGTCTTTCACTATTTATCATGTATAGTGATTTATATCTAAATATTTCAAAAATTTGTCAAATAATTAGTGTTTATTTTATAATATAACTAATTGAAATTTTAAAAAAAGTGTTCAATGTTTAGGCTATACTCCGTCTCACAAGAGAAGGTTTTCGTCCTTCACTGTGCATCTCCCACCACTTTTTCCCGTGGTTTTACGCGATTTTACGCACCGCCACGAGGATGGGAGAAATTCGGCCTCCATGCTCTTACCGTTGCGCGGAGCGTGTATCTTCTCTCATAAGACGAAGTATAGGTATTTTAACAAGTAACAACACTTTTATATTGGATTAAGTCATATATGTAGATTAGTATCTTTTAAATATGTACTCATATATTTAACTATAGAAAATAGTAATTATGCATTGTGTACTTAGTTATTTTGTGTATAAATATATAAATTGAGATGAAAGAAATTTAAAAAAAAAATAATTAAACAAATTATTAGTTCTTATAGGTATGCAATTTAATGTAGGAAACTATTTTTTACCTATTTTTAAATATTTCAAAATTTGTACTATATGAAATTTCCAAGCACTTTAAATAAATTCTAGTCGCAATTTTTCTCGATAATTTTTATCTTTTACACATACTTTTCTTCAATTAATCCAAGCAACCCACCATATCTAAACAATTAATTTCTTAATTTTACATTATTAATAATATAGAATGCACACCGTTGCAAGTGTGGATGTTATGCAGACATGGTACTCGGTACCCATCAAAACACATGATTAAGAAAATTAATAGGCTGGATCGGTTCAAGACTATGATAACAGACATGAGCCAGGAAAAATTACGGGCCATCTACAATTGGAAATCACACCTGACCTTAAACAATGACTGTAACCTCCAAAGTCGTGGAGTCGAGGAGATGAAGTCATTAGCCACGCGCCTCAAGAGTCAGCTGCCACAACTATTCAAGTCGCAGTATGACGAAATAAGTTTTAAAGTACGTATTATTTCCCCCTACAACACCGAATTTCAGATTGGCGCACCATAACGTATCGGATATGCAGGGGCGGACTGACTAGTTCATATACCAGTCCGCAGTTTTAACTGTGAGCAACTTTTTGAACAGAAAACTTACCGATAAATCAAGTGTAGCATTTTTTATGAAAGGAAATTTTATCTAGTTAGTGTATTGGGAGGTAATTTTTTTTTTTTCCAAAGATATTTGATAATAATTGGGAATAACCGAAAAAAGACGCAAAATAAAAATAAACAATTTTTCGGTGTACGATTTCAATATTTTAAATTTGTACACACAATATTTCTACCAGAAATAATACTTCATATAAAAACGAAATTTGGCTTTATTGTTGCATTTTGAATCTACTTTATAATAATTGGGAATAACCGGAAAAAAGAGTATAATCAAAATTGACAAATTTATGGCATTACGATTTCATTTCGATTGGTTGACCCCGAATAGCTAGGATAAAGGGGCAGGAGAAGAAGATGATTGCATTAAATATATAATCAATTTAAGACACTGTCGACCAGTTTTCTCTGGATTCTGTAAAAGATCATTTTACGCAATGCGAAAAATAAATATTTATACAGAGTCATCAATTAATCAAAATAGCTTTTCTTCTTTGGCTATTCTAAATGTAAAAAGGGATGTGTTAAATAATATAAAAACAAACAATATTTTATTAGAGATATACTCTAAAGAAAATAGGAATTTAGAATTATAATTTTAAAAATAAATGTATAACTTTACTATATTATGAATTATGATGCAATTGTATCTTTTATTTATTTTTGTTATTAATGATTGTTTATAACATGAATTGACGAAAAGGGAGGACAGTGTCTCTGAGCAGTGTCGGCCCTAGGGGAGGGCAAGCGTTGCGACCGCACCGGGCCCCACACTTGTACGAGGCACCGCAAATTATGTATTCTGAATATTACTATATCTATAAGCAATCATAAATCACAATAATATGTACGCACATTGCGACTCATGTGGCCGTGTAATTTTCTTTAAACACGGGTTGTTATCGACAAAAATCAAGATAGTAGGTACCAATTTTAAATAGCTGAACACATAGTTATTGGCTTAAAAACAAACATATTTTATCAGCATTGAACATAGTATCGCCGATACATTGAGCTACAATGAGACGAATAATCTATTTGCATCAAAAAAAGCATAAAAAAAATGTTTAAGTAATATTATATATTATCAGTTGTATTACAATAATTTATGTTTATTTTTTTTATTTAAAGTAAAAGTATACTTATTATATCATATTTATGTCATCGTGTTCAATAAAATTAAAATATTGTTTGTAGGTATTTGTTATGTAGGTACCTACTCATTTTTTGTCTAATATATAAATACAAATTAAATTTTATTAGTTTATGTATGGGTACAAATTTAGATTTCTAACAAGACCTTAAAGTTTATAAAATTATATGAAAATAAGGTAAATCCGTTAGAAAATAAAATAAATAAATATATATGGAGCCCTGCAGAATTTTGCACCAAGCCCTGAAATCTGTCGGCCGGCACTGCCTCTAAGTGAAACACATTCGAAATTTGACGTGAGCAACAATCCCCCCCCCCAAACAAATATGACCGCCCTATTCCGTTAGAGATGTATCTAACCTGCAAGTTTAAGTGATGAATAGCGAATAATATTATTATTAAGTACAAATTAAAACATTTATTTTAAGTATTTAAATACATACAATATTTTTTTTCAGTCTTTAATCTCCTATCAAATTAAAACATTTTAATTTTGGCTGTGGTGACCATGAAAGAGTGTTATAACAGTTAAATTTTTAATTTCAGAGATTTTTTTTTCTTCGTGACTTATCTCCTCATTTTCTAATTAATTATGTGGTATCTATTATGTAGACGTTATTTATGTTTTTTGCAGTTTATGTCTTCGAATAAACCGCGGACCAAGGAGAGTATAAATGTATTTTTCGAATCGATGTTCAACGAAAAACCAAAAGATTTACCGATCGCACAACCTTCCGACTATAGATTGTGTGTAAGTATTTGATAGAGGTCACTAATCAAGGATGGATTCTCGAAAAACCCCAACTTGTTTATTCTTATTATTGTCACAAGTTTATTCGGTAAACTAGAACTTATTATTAAATGTGACCTTTGGAAATAGTTAATCAATTGAATAATGAGTAAATCCATAAATACCTACATAATAATTATAAACGCTTATAGACGCGTCAAAACTTACAGTGTTTTTAATTTTCGCTGCAGCTGTCCAAGTGGAAACAAAAAGAGGACGACGAGAACGATGAAAAAATTGACGAAGAGAAAAAGTTCGAGGAGAGTTCGTACGTGCAGTCCGTCGTGTCAAGGGTTTCTAAAGCGATGGGACTTGAGCAAAACTTAAGTTACGGTAAGCGAAATCGATAACTATCTGACGTAGACACATAATATAATAGTATATTACTTATCGGTCGGCCCGTGAAAATAAATTTCTTAATTAGACGAGCTCTGGCTGATAGTAATATCAAAATAAACTACAAAACCGGATTATTTAGATTCAAAGAAAACAGAGGTATCTATTGGCTATTTATGTGTTTTTAGACCTTTTTTAATGCATTTTTTATCTAGTTGGTGAGTAGAAAGTAGGTTCTTTGCCTGTAGCTTTTTAAATAATTGAGCAAAACCGGAAAAACCAGAAAGAATGGGAAAATGTATGAAAATAATTCTTTTGTTATATTGAATTTTATTTTTTTTAAATTATTCAGTTAAAAGTATCCATAAAAACTTAAAATTTTGATAAAAAAAACTTATATTTTCTTTTACAAGATATAATAAAACTTTCAACTAATGTGTGCCATTTTTGAATTTTTTATAGATATTTTAATTATGTGCATTTTTACGTCATTTTTATTTGCTAGGTATTCTGCAGATGAAATTGTTAGACTAAATAGAAATGCTTGAAAATTTAACAGAAAGTTTATTATAAGTCCTATATAATGGTTTGAAAAAAAAAAGTTGAGTGTAATCTAATAGTTTTTTTTAAATTGTAGAGAAGAGGGGGCACATTGAGACAAGGGACACAGTGAAACAGTGTAAATAGATAACAATGGAATCAAATCTAGTGGTTCATACCAATATGAAACGATAAAAAACGTTAAATATTACGTTTTTATTCTGTAATGGTTTGATTCTGATAATGGGAAGAATGTTTATTAACATTTCCCTCCAATTCGTTATAAAAACTAAAGAATACAACCATTGATTTTTTCGCCTTTGGAGGACAATTTTTTTCAATTGTGCGTATTTGTTATATTATATTCTTTAGGAGAAAAAAAGATTTATACGATTTATAACACATTTAAAACTTTACGCTTAGATTTTTGTTTAGATTTTGATTTTTTTTAGATATTGTGTTTTAGATCAAATGAAAATAAAATAAATTGTTATCTCAGTGTAAACTACCCTATGTCTCATTGTACACCATTAGTGGGTTACATCGAGACATTTTGACATTTTTTAAAAAAATGATTATAAAATAAACCGATTTAAAAAATACATAGAAAATAACATTATACTAAAATGTACGCTTGTTTTGGAAAAAAACAAAAAAATATATAATGATATGATTGAAATTGAATAAGACATAACTATTTGAAAATTTAGTGCCCCCTTCTCCTCTATTGGTTTTACAATGCTGTTTATTTATAATTTTTTTTTTTCTTGTAAATAGCTTTTCTACCAGAAATTTTGCTCCGATTTACAATAATAGCACTTTTTATGAAAGGAATCTGACAAGGGAGGTAATATTAGAAGGTCATTTTTTTGATTTTCCCAGGAATTTACCCAATAAATGGGAAAAACGGAGGAAACCAGGAAAATAAGTAAAACATTACAATATTAAACAAATATTATCTATCAAAGAAAATATGTAATGCATATATGTAATTATTTTACCATAATATGACATATACATATATTGTTGACAAAGTAACATTATTAACCGAACTCCGTTCAGAATCGTTTTTCGTTAGCAATCGTTAATAGTTGTGTACAGATATACATTAAATTTCCCTTCTACCTTTCCAAATTTTCACCTACAACAGTGACCCATCCATCGAGTGAAGTCTTTTTTCCGTCTTTTTTAATTTTCATACTTTTCCGTAGAAGACGTTTCGGTCATGTTTGAATCGTGCAAGTACGAAACAGCGTGGACAGACCAGAAACCTGCGTGGTGTGCCGTGTTCACTATAGATGATTTTGAAGTAAGTAAATATTGTGTCATGAAATAACTAAAACAGAAAATTATACATGTCTCGGAAAATCACTTATATATATTATGTATGGAGTTGTTTTAAAACAAATTTTAAAGTAATGATACAGTTTTTAAGCAGACAATAATTCAATACACTATTATTTTAATCTAAAACTCGGATACTTAAATAATTATACTAAGTTATTAATTGTCTGCTCATTTATTTATACTAGTACATACTCATACTTAGTAAATTGCTCTTCGAACAGATAATTATATGTTTTACCATTTGTTTTTTGAGATCCTCGGATACCTAGAAGACCTAAGGTATTACTATGCCAGTGGGTACGGCAATCCCGACATCGAGAGTATGGGATGTCCGATATTAAAAGATATGATCGACAATTTCAAGTAAATTACTGATCTAAGCTACTAAAAATGATATAAAACAATATGATTTGTTGTATTTTTTAGGAAGCTTACTAGGGGTGAAACCGGACCAAACGGAATATTTTACTTCGGACACACGCCCAATATCTTGAGCATGGCGGCTATGCTAGGCATAGGTAAAGATGATACGCCGTTGTTGAGCACCAACTACGAAAATATGAAGTCTCGACAATGGAAGACTTCATACATCGACCCGTACGCCGCCAACATTATAGCGGTGTTTTTCAAGTGCAAAAATAAATATAAAGTGATGTTTTCCCTCAACGAAAATGTACTAAAGAGCAAGGATCGGTTGCAACTATACTCATGGCAGAAGATCGAAGCACATTTCGAACCTATAATCTCTAAGTTTTGCACCCCATAGATTTTTGTAAGATTTCGTCACATTGTCGTTTGCCTCGACGACCAGTATATTAGTTACCATATATTGTTACTTCTGCAGTCATGTTAGCATGGGCGTAATTTCAACGGATGCAAGGGATGCACTTACACCCCCTTGAATTTTTATGGGGTTCAATATTATCATTTTGTACCTCCATTGATCGAAAATAAACCCTGATTTGTTATACAAAACCAAGTTGGATAGTATTTTATTTCGTGTATAGTTTATTAATATGCGACTGAGTCGGATTTCGAAAACGTATCTATCATTTTTCATACAAGTGATATTCACCGCTTATAATGGGAATTATGATAACCTAAAATAGATTAATGGTGAAACTACGTGAACACATGATCATCAAAATTGTTGCTATGCTATCAATAATCATTAGGAACGGATTTATATGCACTTAAAAGTTTAAGCGCTTAAATCGTTAAAAAAGAACTTCAACATATTTAAAAAAGTAATCGACGGAGTGGTTTGATTCCTACCTTTAATGGTTCTACTTTGGGAGATTTTTAAACCCTCTCTATCTTTATTGCTCTTTTTAATATTTTTAAATGAATGTTTAGGCCTTTTTGGCGTTTTTTTATGGATTTTAAGTGCATATAAATCCGTTCCCTAATGATCCGTTTTACTTACGAGTGTTTATACTATTATTTATTATTAAATACACTTCTTCAGGACTTTTTTTATTTATGAATTACTTCATTACTTAGTTACGTAAATGTCAGTTTTGCACCCCCTGAATTTTAGCGAAATTATGCCTATACATGTTAGCTTGCATACTAAGTTACAGTTTGCATATTAAAATAATTAAGCTTTATAGTTTGTTATATACTCATTGCTTATATCTTCTAATATATTTTATTTAGTTATAATATGTTATTATTTATAGTACCTACCATTTTATATAAATATATATGTAGGTAAACATATTTATATATGTATGATATCAATATCAACCTAATTGAGACAGTCGTTTTTTGATTTTTTCCGTAGTGTTATTGATAATTAGGAAAAACCAGGAAAAAACGCTAAATGAAAACTGACAAATTTATAGCGTTAAAATTTCATTAATTTAAATTTTTACATTTAGCATTTTCTACTAGAAATATTACTCCAATAGAAAACCATTAAGAAATCTTATTTATTCAATTTTTTATCTAGTTGATCACTAAAAAATTCGTTTTTATAGTTTTTTTAATAATTGGGCAAAACCGAAAAACACGTAGAAAGAACAGGAAAATTTACGAAAATAATTATTTTAGTATTTTAAATTTGGTTTTTAAATGTACTTCAATTAAAAATATTCACTGAGACATGAGAATTGTGACAGAAAGCTTATATTTGCTTTTTGTATACGTGATAAAATTTTCAAAATATTTGAGATATTTAGATATAGACATTTTAATTTTGAGAATTTACGTAATTTTCATTTTCCAGAAACTCTGTGGATAAAATTGTTAAATTAAACAGGAATGCTTGAAAATTTGACAAGAATTCATTACAAGCATATTTGCGGTCAAGAAAAAAAAATTGCGTATCATATGAAGTATTTTTTTTTTTTTTTTTTGTATCTAAGTTTTAAAATCAAAGTTTGCCGAAAATTGGGAATTTTTATGAAAAGTGAACAGAATAAAGTTGCATTGAACGGTTTGGAAGTTTTGGTTTATACTAACCGAAAAAACGGCCACAGATATAAAAAAAAAAAACCACACGGATTTTTAAAACAAATTCTCACGTCGGCTCATAATTTTCGATGCGTCCGGGCTTGGCTCTATGGCCATTTTATAGAGGGCGCGTAAAGCGACTAATGATAGAAGAAAAAAAAAAAAAAGAAAGACATCCTATATTATATTATGCGATTATAACCGAAAGCGGGGGCGTAATTGCGAGGGGAATATGAGAGATAGATCTCTCCCCCCCCCGTGAGCCGTATTTATATAATTTACTGTAATTTTAGTACAAATCGAAAGTTCGAATGCAAATGTTCGAGACCGTTGTGTAATCGAAAAATTATAAATGATTAATTGCATATTATTATCACGGTGATTCATTTTCGATATCCCGCCCATTGAATCGTTTACGATTACGCCATTGACCGAAAGATATCGTTGGCATGAACAAAAATAAAAAAAAAAAAAACGAAAATCTAACGATATTATATTATACATAGTTTCCTGTTGCGCAAGTCCCGCCGCGTACCGTACGTTTCGGGCGTTGCGTACGCGTTCGCTGCGCGACGACGACCGCGCCAAACCGCGACCGGTGCGGTAGAACGCCAGACTCAGTTTCGCGATAATGACGGTCACGTGTAGTCTGCTGCTGATCCATTCGTTGGTGCTGGCGGCGGCCGTGCGGCCCGGCGTACCCAGTACGTGCTACCAGGCCACCCCGAATCCGTCCGTGTTATTCGGCACGAAGACTACTTACGGCGCCGTGTCCGGCAACGATTTGCACAGTCCGTCAGGTACGTGCCCGTCGCATTGATATTATGTCAAATCTTACGAAACGTTTTCAATGTCGTTTCCCCATCCCCCTACTCACCCCTCCCCGCCGGAGTCTGAGCACAATTATTTCGATTTTCGACTTTAGCACACGACGTTGTTTTTTTTCGCGCTCCATAATGAGTTGTTCAGCAGTTTACGGCAATCTACCGATCTTCGTTCCGTTACTATATCGATGTCTACGTTTCGGTTTCCTCGTACGAATTACGTCCGTGTACACTATAACATGGACTGTATGAACTATAATTATAATCACTGTTCATCGCATTTATTTAGCGTTTGAAGTCTAAATGTTTCGAAAAATTGCGATACTGGTATAAGTGTTTATTTTACAACGCGGCCAATTCAAATTAAAAAAAAAAAAAAATGTATGCGTACAATTTTGTGAAATTTAAGATAAGTATTATAACAACGCCTTTATGTTTGATACAGACTAGTATACTTTAGGTACACTAGGTGTACATATTTATATGTTATATTTGATTTAAAGGAATATGTCGTGGCGACGCATTTAAAAAAAAAAATCAAATGAAAAATGCATATGAAAAAAATTTCATATGCAATTTAAAACAGGAAATTATATTTTACCTATTTTAAACTATTTCAAAAATTGTATTTCATGAAATTCTCAAACACTGCATAAATTCCGATTGCGGTATATTCCTATAATTTTGAACTTCCACACATTATGTCTTTTTTCATTTAATTCAAACATTCCTTAATAATTTATTTTTTTATTTTTTCGATGCTTGTCTAATTGTCCATGCTTTATCTAACATTTTTTTCTAATACTTCTTCTTTATTCAACATATCCGTTCAACTTGTCTTGAGTATTCGTCTGTAAAACCACATCAAAAAGCTGCTGCCCGTCATTGATGAGTATGAGAGTTGTACGTACAATTCTCATACAATATTATACTCTATAAACCTATTTTTTAAAAGAATTTTTGTGATAGGTAGCCTAATATTTCTTGAAGTAAAAACGTATCTTATAAATTCGAAACGTTCAAGAGATCTATTGTTTTTACTGTATTGGGTGGTTTTTTTTTTAAGTTTTAGATTCTTAGTGTAGCGAAGAATGTATTGATTTTACAAAAATGTTAATTTTTTTTTTTTTTTAGTAAACACCTTTTCTACCGGAAAGCGTACTCCGATGTATACGATGTAAACCCTTTTCTCAAAGACAATTTTCTTGGGGTGATACTTTAAAAAGATAATTTTTTGATTCTCCTGGTAGTTTTCCCGATAAAAGGGAAAAAGTGAGAAAAAACGTACGAAATATACACCATGTCCCACCATATTTGACGGACTTTTCTAGCGCTGTAAATATTACATTTTTTTTGATTTTTTTTTTTTATCGATTTGTCGATTTGGAGAAAAATTAAATTTTTATTTTCTTCCCTTAAACACAAAAAAAAATCATTATATTTAATTTCTTTAAACATTTTTCAAAATAGCCATTTTGTAAAAAATATTATTCTTAAAATTTGAATGGATCATACATTCATACCCGATAAATAACTTCTCAGTTATAGCCGTTTTAATTAGGAGTAAAAACAATTAATTTTCAATAAAATAATACGTTAAGCGATAAGGAAGTACAGTCAACACAGTAATTATTTATCTATTATTAAATATTAATTGTTTTCTCGTCTATTTTCTTGAAATTATTAGTACATTACTTTGATTTTTTTCTGTGAACAACTTGTCTACCAGCAATTTCGCTCCGGTTTACAATGATAGCAGTTTTCCTAAAAGGAAATCTGACTGGGAAAATACTTTAAGGAAATCATTTCCCAAGAGTTTTCCCAACAAATTTAATTAAAGAAAATATGTAATGCCTATTGAATTAATTTAACATAATATGACATATATATTGTTGACAAAGCATCACTATCAACTAAACTCCGCTCAGAATCGTGTTTAGTAAGCAATGATTTATCGTTGCTTACAAATACAAATTAATTTTCCCTCTAAATCCTACCTTTCCAAACATTTCCCACTTTCTTTTCAACATATTTGAATAACCGAAAAAAAACTGAGGAAAAACGGAAAAATTACGAAAATAATTTTTTAATATTCTAATGTAATTCAATTTAAAATATGCATATACATGAACTTTGTACAGGATATGTATACTTACTTTTTATAAATGTGGTAAAATGTTCGAAACGTTTAAATTATTTTTGAGCTATTTATAGAGATTTTAATTTTGCGTAATATTTATTCGGTAGGTACTCTGTACATAATTGTTAAACTTAACAGAAATTCTTAAAAATTTGAAAGGAGGTTCAATATAAGTCGTACTTAGTGGTAAAAAAAAAAATTATTTTAGTAGTATTTTTTTTTTTTATAAGAGTTTTAAAATTAAATTTTGACAACAATTGTAAATATTAAGGCCTTTCAAAACATATACATATAAACGAACTTCGCTCCAAATCGTTTTTCATTGTCAATAGTTTATCGTTTTTTACAAGTATAAATAAAATAACTTTAAGTATCCCACTTTCCCAACTACCCACCTACAACAGTGGCTGCACCCGTCACCAGTATTAGCTCTTTTTTTTTAATGGTTGATATTTTCCCTTAAACATGTCGTTATTTCCTTTTTACTTCTTCCGTTCATACTTTTAATACTTCCCAAGTATATGAACACTTACACTTGCTCAATTTCTCAATTAATTCATACATAGTGTACATGTATTCTTGCCCAAGTATTATAAACCAAATAACACAATTACCATAGGCGTACTTACGAGTTTAATAACAATACCTTAATTATTTTTAAATTCTAAGCGTAGTGAATAATATCGGTTAATAATCGGTTTTATTATGTGTCCTTTTATTTTATTTTATGTCTGCAAACAACTTGTATAAAATAATACATCTTTTTACAATCAAAAAATGACAAAAAAGCTATTTGCAGCGAATTTTTCCTTTGTACCTGGTCATTTTTTGATATTCCGTGTAATTTTCTTAATAATGGGTAAAAACCAAGAAAAAAAATCGTTAGATGAAGATTTCAAAAAATTACAGTTCTAGACATTCATTAAAACTTCGCATGTTTATTAGGTACTAAAATCGAGTTTATTCGACCACCGAGACCTGAATACTTTTGCAATTAAGAAACACTTTTTTGTTGCATTGTCTGTTTGAAGTTTACTAAACCTTTATTTTTAATTAGTGACTTACTGATATTCAATACATATAAAATTCGACGAAAGATCATATTGAGAACATTGTTTTTGTTTTATACATCTAATATTATTTTTGTAATAAAAATTTGTTTTAAAAAAAAAAAAAAATGATTTATTTCTAGTCGTGAATTTCAATGTTATATATTATATATGTCACATATACTCAAATCAGACATTTTACTAAATGTCTAGGCAAATAGTCAAAGAATTTAATTTGAATGTAACTTACTTACTATCCACCTTGACATTTATTCAAATGCCTAGACTATTTAACTAAAAGCCTAGTTAAAATCAGACAAATAATAAAAATGCAACGTTTTTATATTATTTTAAAAATTAAATTTTATTTTGTTATTAATTATTTATTACTTTTCTATATAAAATTATTTGTCATTTATTAATAGTTAAAATACGTAGGTGAAATATGATGAAATATCATACATATGATGAAATATTTTTAATTTCATATCCTTGGAAACTTGGGTTCTTAGGTATTATTTTGTAACTTAAATTATAAAGAAATATGCATAATTACTAATTTGGTATGGTAGAACGAGTAAAAAAAATTTTTCGGAACATTTAACCTTTTTTTTAAAACACAAACACTGACCGGTTTAATCGGATTGGGTACTCTGCTATATTCTAGACCATTAATTGAAAATTGAAACTATTTAAAGTTCTCGTCTAGAACACCAATATTTTTATTATACTAATTACTGCTGTGCCAACAATTTACTTTTTATTTGTTTTTCATTATTAGGTACATAGTGGGCAAATATTTTCAATATTGTCACCATTATTTATAGAAAGCATACTTTTTAAGGCATTTTTTGACAAACATATAATAAATAAAGTACCTACTGATGGATGAAAAATTCGAATCTTTAAGTTAATTTGACTTGATTTTCCAAGTTTTTTCCAAGAAAAGATTTTAAAAATGTAAACCTAAAACTTGCCTAGCTCTATTCCAGATCTACAACAAAAAAACATTTTGAACTTACATATTTATTAATGAGAGTTGCATCTCTCCAATTCTATTACTAAGCAATCAGTAAATTAGTATATATGATTAAAGTTGTAGTTAGTAACGCTGTATTTTATCAACCAAAGCAGTATATCGAGGGAGATTCGGTAAAAAAACTGTACCCACTACTGACCGTATTGTTACTTCAAGATCTAAAATAATTAACTTACTGACGTTTGTCTTAAACCGAATTAGCTGTGGAAGTCAATAATAAAAATGAACTTCCTTGTTTGATTGCAGTCTCTACGCCCATATCCGCTGAGTGACTAATACATCTGTTTATTAAGTAGGTATTTACTTGTATCTCGACGTACGGGTACCTATTTATTTTCAATTGTTTATATATTTTTTTCCTACGTCAATTAGTCGGCCGCAAACATGATGATGGTCCGGTACACACCTTTAAGTGTATTTCGTCAGTGTGTTAAGTCATTTCAGATAAACAATAACCATACGCATGTAATACTCCCGGTGTATACTAGAATTCAACACGAGCCTTTTTTTCTCGGCCCATTCCGGCCCGAAACTTAAACTTCAAAACTGTCACCACCCAGGCCCGGTCCGTGATTTTTTTTTTTCCTGTGAAGTCCAATCCGACCAGATCCGTTTGTAATTTTTTCACAACTTTGGTTTGGTCTGACTCATCATTTTGTAATATAATTTTGTTTTGTTAAATTCTGGTCCACTATAATTTAAAGGCTTGGCCATATTCAATGAAAAAACAAAATGATTAAATGAAAAACATAATCATACAATGAAAAATACACTGCCACCATCATTCATGTTGAAATTATATTATCTGTTTTTATCAGTGATCTATTTATAAATATTATATAGGCTATATTTTTTTTACCTAGTAATTTATATGCACGTTCTGTATTATTATGATTTGTGAAATGCCTATATACACCACCAGTTTGAGAACGTTTGCTTATCTAACGCCCATCGGTATTGTACTTGTGTATTATAATACAAATAAAGTTATTTTTATCTTTATTAACTGTATACCTAACATTGACCACTCCGTGAGCGAGTAGCGGTGTAGAAAAAAAACTGTTTGTAAAATCAAGATTATTTTTGTGAACACCGATCACACTATGTTAACAATTAAATTAAGTAGTTTTAGTTTTAACCGTCCCGGCCCAATGAAAAATATTACGATCCCACCCGACCCGCAATAGTTATATTATAGCCTAGTACGGGTTAGGCCGGCCCGTACTGATCTCTATTGTATACCCACGACGAGAACGCGGTAATGATTTCGTATTTGTACTCGAACGTTTATTCAACAGTATAACTATAATTGTAACGATGCTGTCGTATAGGTATATGAATGAAATAATAACACAAGTACGTATTAATTCTGTTCAGAATAATAATATTTCACATAAAAAAAAAAAATCCGTCCAAATTAAATAATATCTTCTCGTAAAAAGTCGCGAAGTTGCTTTCAGTTGATAGTGATGACTGGTGGACTCGTCTGATGGGGCTTTGGTGTTTATAAATGGCTGTACCCTTTGTTGTCTGTACCCTGTAATCGTTGTACGATCCGGCGTGCCGTACCCTGAAAACGGTCAATCAGTAGGTGTATAGATTTGGGTAACATTGTGGATGATTTCTATTGTAGTAACTTTTATACCTCTAATTCACCAGATTTTCGGGCGTCTTATTTTACGATTTTTTTTTTCTGGTTATTCCCCATTTCTATAAAAATTGCTTGGAAAAATCAAATAATTAATACCTATATACTCATCAACTAGATTCAAAATCTAACAAAAATATCTTGTAATTTTTGTGATTAGCCTGCAGAGATTTCTGATAGTTGCTTACAGACAGGGAAAAAAATTTAAAAAACCCACATAAATGCATTTCTCGTTACGCTCGAAATCTAAAACAGTTCCTGATCAAAACAAGTTCATAAATTATAAACACTCATTGTTGTTTGAAAAATATCGCAGAAAGAAAATCTAATAACAGTATATATGTATTGTAAAATATAATAATTTGACTGCAGAGAGAAGCTTGAGAATGAAGGAAGAAAATCGATCGATATGAATTAACGGAGAACTGTGCCGAACTGCTGATATAGTGGAGTTGGTATTAGTGACAAGCCTCGTTATAAAGGAAAAGTTGCAATGAGTAGGACACGTAGTAAGGAGAGAAAAAATGATATAGTAATAGTAAAAATGTTAAGGAACCCCTAAAGTGTAATACCTTAATGAAGTCAGAGGAAGAATTAAATCTGCGCAGTAGATCTTAGAAGTTCCTATACGGCGTCGAGAACTGTATAAAAGAGAGATTGTCCAAGGAACGTCGAGACAAAGTAGTACCCAACGCAAACGCAGAAGATTAATAGTATGTTATAGAAAAGTGCTCAAGGGCACCCACAAAAACAACTCTACCTTACAGTACCCCACTAAAGTACCTTTGAAATATTTAATTCGGTATGTTTCAATATAATAACATGTGTTTGAAAAATACAAAAATGGGTATTCATAATAATGTCTTAAACGGTATTTGTTTGCATGGAAACGGGCCTTTACAACGCGGGCAAAAATGATTGGGGTTTTTTTAATTGCTGACCGACGGCATGCTTCGGAAGACTTCACGGGGGCGGAAGAGAAATCCATTCAGCCCTTAAGCCTGTCGATACCAATCGATGTACGCGGTAACGATGAATATTTAATAATATATGTTTCGCGAGTATTATTCGGGTTATTGAACCAAAAAAATCTGAAGGAGGGTCAAAAATTGTTTGTTTAATATACATAATAATAATACCTAACCTATACCTATATAGAATATATAATGGATTTATTAATTAAGAGTAAATACATTTAAAAACATTTTTTTTATGGTACGTAAGTATGAAAACAAATCGAGTATCTAGCCCCCATTTACCCCCTCCGCGACGATAACTATACGAGTTAGATACCTATATTAGCTTTTTCATTATCTATTATTTTTTATAACAAATTACTTAGGTAACGGAAAAAAAAAAATTTGCTCCTAGCAGAACTTTAGGTACTCGTATCGATTATATTATAAATGTACAATGGTTAAACTACGTTATTAATATTATAGAATGCAGACCGATGCAATTGTGGTTGATGTCCAGGCACGGCACACGATACCCGTCGCGTGAGAAGATAGAGGAACTCAAGGAGCTGGACCGGTTCAAGGCTATGATAACGGCCGATACGACCATGTGCCAGGAAGACGTAGAGGCCATTCGCAACTGGAACTTGAACCTGACCGCAGACAACCACTACATGCTCCAAAGGCAGGGGGTCGAGGAGCTCAAGTCATTGGCCGCGCGCCTCAAGAGACGGCTGCCACAATTGTTCAACACAGAGTACGACGAGACAAAGTTTAAAGTACGTATTATTTCCCCGCACCAAACCGTATATCAGGGGAGAGTACCATAATATATATATATATATCGGATATGTTACGTATCTATACTCCAAAATCACGAGGAATATTTCTACACACGATAGATACAGAAGAAAAATTTGAATTGATTTGAAAGAAGTTATATATGTTTGAGACGATCTTGTTCGGTACTATTTTCTTAGCTAAGAATCTTTTTGTCGGTTTCGGTTTGCTGAAGGATCTTCCAGCACCGTTCATTGCATATTATGTTTACCTATTATTATTACAGTAGCGTAATTATGGGGGGGGGAGTTCCCTCCGAAAAAAAAATTATTTGAAGACGTCAAACTTTAAACATACCAATAATATAATAGTTTAAGTTTATTTTATAAATTGTAATAAAATAAAAAATATTTTGTAAGGGGACTACGGCAAAGAACGGCTTAAAAATAAGTATCACGACCGCATTCGGAATAATGCTAAACTAAACTGAGATATTTTAGTACGTGACTATCAGTATGCACTACGCACAACATAAAATACAATTATACGTTTTTATCATTTAATTGAATTCGATTTTCATACAAAACAATTATATTATAAACTAATTGTTGGGACCGTTTAAAGAGGATTAAAATAGTACTGAAATGGAACCAATAAAGATAATATTAATACAACGTAATTCTTTTTTTAAATCAAACGAAATGATGGTTAATATTATTATTAATTATATTTAAAGCATTTGTTATCTTTTCTTTAATAATTTTTTAATAGTTCTTAAATAATAAGTTAGTATAAAAACAAATTAATAAAATTATTTCGTTATAATTTCACCCTTTCCCCCCACAAAAAATAATAATAATAAGTTTGTAAATACGGGACTATATTTGATTGTGACTGTATTTACCACGTGTATTTTTGAATTTTTGAATATACTTATATTATCCATTTTTAGACGTGGTCAATTTATCATACCGTTTTAACGATTTTTAAGCTTTGTATAGCTATAAAGTTCCAGTTTTTATTTTATTTTATAATAATAAAATTTGTTTTTCTTGCAAATGCTCGAAAATTTGATTTATCTTGAGTTTTTCTAATGGCACTATAAAAATATCGAATACCCGAAATCATAATTTTTTTTTATAAATATTTGAATTTAAATTTTGATAAAAATCGTAAAAATCATAATATTTTGTGTAAGAGTTATTCTTCGATTTATGCAGATGAAACTTGTTTGGCCCCGTAGACATTTTGATTAACTTTGTAGTTATTAATTTACTTATAAATTAATACAAACATTTTCAATTCAAGTTTTTCAAAACATGATTAACCTCGCTCAGAATAGTTTTTGGTTAACAAAAATGTATCGTTTCGTACAGATAAATTATTATTACCCTACTTATACGGCTATTACCTATAATAGACGATTTACATTTAATATACCTATATATACGTTTGACAGAGAGGACACAATACTAAAACATATTATCTCCTCCCTACCCCGTAAACTCGAAATGTTAATAATCAATAAAAAAAACCTGTCAGTTCCGATATTGCATAGGTAACTACGCTACACCGCCGTTTATTTACACCATATTTTTTTCTAATTTCGCGTTTTGTTTTTTTTTTTTATTTATGATATTCGCTGCAGGTGGTTTGTAAACAATTCGCATGGCTTATCTGCATTAGACGATCGTTCCAAATTCAATATAGTGTCTATACGGCTATAGGTACCCAAATTGTTTATACTAATTAGGTATAATATGATGTCACGTCATTACAGAACGTGCATTCGCTTTTCGTTTACCATATACGAAAATATACGTTAGTCATTCGTTTGAATAAAACTTCACACAAGAGAAGTACCAATTGCATACTCAAAAATCGTAATTTTCTAAATATATACCTATGTAGGTCCTGTAAATTAAATTACAACATAATATATTATATACTTATCTAGGTACAAGTGTAAAACTGAACCGTAATGAGAAATTAATTTTTTTCTCAAAGTCTAGCCCTTACCTATACAAGGCTGATCAATAGGAGGAGTGCTCACGGGGGGAGCGAAGGTGAGGGTGTCATATCCTCCCCCTTGAACTTATTTTTGTATGCGTTCCTTGGTAGTTTCAGTTTTCTCGGGAAAAAAGAAAAGGTAGTGCATAGTTGGCTTTAATTCTTAGTCATGTTAATTATTATCATACATATAAAATAAGTTTAGTAGATACTATAGTAATAGTTATTAATAATTATCCATAGATAACGCATAATTATTTTTTTTTTAAAAAAAAGGTAAAATAATGGAGACAGGTGCAGCCACCGGTGTAGGTGGGAAGTTGAGAAGGTAGAATATAGACGTGAATTTAATGTATATCTGTAAGCAACGATAAATGCATTGCTTACGAAAAAACGATTCTGAGCGGAGTTCAGTGATGCTTTGTCAACAATATATATATATATATATGTCATTTTATTGTAAAATAATTAAATAGGCTTTACATATTTTCTTTAAGAAAATTAGTTTAATTAATGTTATACCAATTTTCCCAGTTTTCCTACAAATTTTTTCGGTTTTCCCATGTTTTATCCCGGTTTTTCACATTTTTTGGGAAAACTCTTCGGAAAATCAAAAAGTGACCTCTCTAAAGTACCTCCCTAGTGAAATTTCCATTTAGAAACATTGCTTTCATTAAAAGTTAGAGCAAAATTGCTGGTTGAAAAGGTGTGCGCAGAAAATAAAAAAAACAAACTCCTTCGTAAAATCATAAGCTTCTTTCACTCCACTAAGAATCTAAAATAGGTATGTATATAATATATATATATATTAACATTGTAGTTCGTACCTAACTACCTACTCCTAAAATATCAATGTCTATACCAATAAGTATACATTTTATAAATTTGTGTACATGACTATCAATAAAATAAAATACAGTTCATCCCCTCCCCCGTCATAGGAAAAAGCTGAGCACGCCACTGATCAATACAACGTTATAAGTTAAGTCTTATTTTTTTACTACAGAGTATGACTTGTAAATAGCTGAAAAATGGCTCAAATGTTTTGAAAGCTTGACCACGTCTAGAAAAAGCAAATATTAATTATCTGTGAAAATATCAAGTCTCTACGAATATTTTATGTATTGAAATACAATTAAAAAACAAAATTTAAAATAATAAAAGAATTATTCTCGTACATTTTCCCGTTATTTCTACATATTTTTCGATTTTACTCAATTATTAAAGACTATAAAAAAAATCAAAAAATTACTTTTTTGGTCACCAACTTGATTGAAAATTCAATAAAAAAAGATCCCTTGATGTTTTACATTTAAATATTTCTGGTTAAAAACATATAAATTTAAAAAATTAAAAACAATGAAAACGGTAACGCCACATTGAGCCGTAAATATTTGCCTTTTTACCTATAATTTTCTTTCTAGTTATTTCCAATTATTTTGAAAACCCAATCAGAAAATCAAAACAAAAATGACTTCTTCAATTCACCAATTAGATAAAATTATCTTTCAAAAAAAGTGTTACACTTGATACTCCAGAGCAAATTTTCTGGTAGAAAAAAAAAACACCACATAGTAAATTCACTAAAACCAATAGATTCCTCGCTACACTCCGAATCTAAAAGGTACCCACAAGTTTTAATTAAACATGACTACGTAAATTGAGAAAATTTATTTAAATACATATTTTTTTTACTGTTAATAACCTATAAACTCATTAAGCAGCTACAAGGCGTTTTACCCACCTCTAAACTTTTTTTACGAATGGCAATGGAAAACGTCATAAGAAATTGTTATAATAGTTGAATTTAAACGTTTTTTCTTTTTTTAATAGCCTATCTCATCTACTCGCCCTCTCATTAGTTATACGGTCCGGGTATCATTTGTGTTTACGTGGTATTCATTAAGTTTTTTTGCAGTTTTTGACTTCGGCCAAACCGCGAGCCATGGACAGTGCCAAAGCGTTTTTCCAATCGATGTTCAACAAAAAACCAGAAAAAGATATACCGATCGCTGAACACTCCGACGACAGGTTGTTCGTAAGTACTCAATACTAGTTTCTAATCTAGGGGAGCTTCTTGAAAAAGGATCTACATCAAAATCTTGAATAAATAATTACGGCAAAATCTTGAACAGCAAACATTTAAATGACAAAATCTTGAAAACATAATAATTAATATTAATATCAATTAAAAATAACAGATATGGCCGATTTATTCGAAAATATTATTATCGAAAATATTCGATTCAAGATTTTGTCATTTAATGTTTTGCCAGAATCTTTTTCAAGATTTTGCTGGCCCCCCTCGAAAAACCCTATTATTATTATTATTATTATTTTTTTTTTTTTTTTATAGTTTTATTAAATTTTACGGAAATCATAAATAGATTGAATTACGAGTTAATCTGTAAATACTTACACAATAATTACAAACACGTGTAAAGGCGTCTTGTAAATACATTTTATTAACAGTTTTGTTAATTTGCACTGCAGCTATCCAAATGTAAACAGAAAGACGACGACGACAACGAAAAAGAACAAGGAGAAGCGAAAAAGTTCGAGGAGGGCCCGTACATGCGGTCCATCGTGTCGAGGGTTTCTGCGGCGATGGGACTCAAACAAAACCTGAGTTACGGTGAGCGATCGGTACTAACCGATGTAGGCATATATAATATGATATAATAATACTTATCGCTCAACCTGTGAAAATAAATTCTGGTGGGATCCTTTAATAGCCGGGCTTCTATAAATGATAACATTATAAAAACGACTGTTTTTTTTTTTTTTTTTTTTTAATATTAATTTTCGTTTGCAGAAAACGTTTCGCTTATGTTTGAATCGTGTAAGTACGAAAAGGCATGGTACATACAGTCGCGGCCCGCATGGTGTGCCGTGTTCACTAAGGACGATTTTGAAGTAAGTACCTATGTATACCTACTAAAGCAAACAGTTATATGCCCCAAAAAAAACGTACTTGTAAAATATGTATTATGTATAATATATATGCGGTTTTCTTAAAAAAAAAAAAAATTATAATAGGTAGTAATAGAAGTACAGTTTTTTTTTACAATTCGAAAACGGTAAAAACCGCACTTAAACATTTGGCAATACCCAATCGAGTGAAACCAGTTGATATAATATTATTTTTATCTAAAACTCGGTTAGGTATCTATGTGGGTACTTTGGTTATTAACACGCCTGCTCATATATTTATACTAGTAAATACACATACCTAGGTACCAGGTACAGTATTATGCTTAAAACGGATAATAATAGTTTGTACTGTTTGTTTTTCCTTTCTTGAGATCTTCGAATACCTGGAAGACCTGAAGTATTACTACGCCAACGGGTACGGCAATCCCAACAGCGAGAAAATAGGATGTCCTATATTAAAGGATCTAATCGAAAATTTCAAGTATACTTCTGGCCACGTAATTACGATCTAAAAATAGTATAAAAACAACACAATTTATTTCGTTTTTTTAGGAATCTAGCTAGAGATAAAACCGGACCATTGGGAATATTTTACTTTGGACACTCGCCAAACGTCTTGAGCGTGGTCACCAGGTTAGGAATTGGCAAAGGAGATACACCGTTATTAAGCACAAACTTTGAAAATATGAAGACTCGGAAATGGAGGACTTCGTACATAGACCCGTTTGCTTCCAATGTCATAGCAGTGTTTTTCAGATGTAAGGACGGGAATAAGGCAATGTTTTTACTCAATGAACATGCCGTACCAATGAACAATGGTTCGTCTCAACTAAGCCCATGGCAGCCAATCGAAGCACAGTTCGACTCAATAACCTCTAACAACTCTTGCAACTTAGATTATTGTAAGAGTTCAGCACTGTCGTTTTCATCGATGACCAGCACTATTGTTATTGCCATAGTCATGTTAACATACATAAGCTACAGTATTATACAAAATTAATTTACCTTTAATTTATTATATAAAATTACTAATACAAACAAATAATTCTGATATCACATTAATCATCTAGTAATTCTTTAGTCACATTGTCCAGAGCAACTTGAATGGACCATATGCTCAGTGGTCTCATATAACCGACAGAACGATATGCTTTTTTAGAATAAATTGCTTCGGGTGTTTCATATGCCATCCCAATCTTATTGTAAACAGTATCATAAATACCCTTTGCTGTGTTAAAACCTTCTTCACGTAAACCCTAAAAACATTTTTTTTTTTTTTATATAACCATAATGTGTTCTATTTTTAAATGAAAACTAACATAAAAGATCATTAAAGAAGACACAGCATATGTAACTCCTGTCCAGACTTCTTCACTCTGTAAAGAGAATGTGTCTGGCTTTCCATCAGGCATCATGCCATTCACAGCTCCCATTTGTCCGTCATTGAATCCTTGCACATTTATATTGTATATTATCTGGAGTGCCTTTTTAACTCTGTCAAGTGGGAACACCTAAAATTCGAAGTACACAATTCATTAAATATTATATACCGTTAGACATATACAACATCTATCTCTATATTCAACCTCTTCGGTGACTCCACAACATTTTAAATACCATGCACCACACAACTGATCAGCCATTATTGACTTTGAATGAGGGTTACCAGATGAATCGAAATCATAGTAATCACCTAAAAATTTAAAATGACTGTATTTGATTTTTCACATTTAAATTAAACTCAACAGTGACAAATTATTCAGGTGTATGTGTAATAATAAAATTATGATCAATAAATGTTAAAGATGATGTACTATGTTGTCTATATATGTAATAAATAATATAAAACACTTATAGTTTTGTATGGATAAAAAAATTAGAAATTACCAAACATAATTAAAATTTGTGTTTTTATGATAATCATTTATTTTAATTAAATGCTACATAAAGGAACACTTGAACTAACAAAAAATTGAAACAATTATATTTTGCAAAAACCATGTATACATTTTTATGTAATGATGTATAAACTGATATACTCTCTTCACAACGCAGCCCATTCAAACACACTATACTATGTACTTAAAACTATATATTTATGTCGTACATAATGTATTTTATGCAAATAAAACTTTTATTTATATTAATTTAGTTTATTATCAATGCCTCAAAATAATCGTTTTAGACCACACAACAGAGATTTATAAATTATAACATTTAAATGATATTGTTTGTATTATTAAATTAAAAGTTTGATCATTTTTATTATAAATTTGTTTAATAAAACAACATTCATGCCACTTCAATGATTACCAAAAGAAATTACCATTCCATAGAGTTGTATTAAATACTTCCTTTGCTTTATTTAATACTATCGAATATTTTTCATAAATATCTCTTTGATCTAAAATATTTGCTATCTGAACCGTACTATAAAGAGCTGCTATCCACAAGCTGCCACAGTAAGCACTAAAATAAATAAACAGTCATAAATGCAGAGAATTCGTTAAAATATAAGATATACAATTTCATATTTATAGCATAATGTTTAATAATATCTGTCAGACTAAAATGTTCACATTCCAAATTGTGAAACACACCAGGACCCATTAGATACTCAATAAATATATATTCAATGATTCACAGAAGATTCACATTTCATTTGTTTGTATAATTAGTTTATTTATTCCTTCTTCTTATTTAGATTGTTTAAACCTAAAATCAACAAACTAATATACAAAAATAGAATGGTTTGTGACTAGGAACAGGATAACTGTAACTTATTTTGTTTAAAACTGACCATAATAATACATCATTTATACTTCACTACTTCTTCCATACCAGTATCCCTCATCAAAAAGATCACACTTCAGAAGTAAATCTCGCCAAAATTGTTAATGGAAATTAAACATTTCAACAACAAAATTTATTTAAACTGAAACCTAATTCATTATTAAAATGTTAACATAGATTACCATTTGAACATCATAAGTTTAATAGGATTTAGTCTAATAGCATAATAGCAAACGAAAAAAAAAAAAAAGAGTAATAAAAAATTTGAAAATTAGTGTACCTTAAATTTTCTAAAAGAACATTTTAAATATAAGTTAATACTCTCTGAAATAGTAAATGTTCTGGGTTTAAAAAAATCACCTTATAATGCTAGACTTCAAATATTTAAATAATAATGTGATTTTACCTTACACCTGTCATTATCCAAGTATCAAAAGTTTGGTCAGCTGTTCCAGAATTTTCAATCATTCCATCACCATCACTATCCATAGATAATGATTTCTCCATCACATTTTTAATCTGTTACATATAGATCATATTAATAATTGCTGCAATTTATTAGATATGTTACCATGAAACAATTTATACAGTAAGTATACAAACAAAAATCAAAAAACAACAACATATTTCATTTAAAATACATAAACCACTCTAATACCTGAGGAAACATATCAGTCAAATATTTTTGATCAGCAAATAGAATGTAGTCTCTATAGCATTGCAAAACAAATTTCAAATTAAGATCACGCCATTCTGATACATCATGTACTAAATAAGCATTCACTAAATTAAATGGATCTTCCTCTATTAAAAAATAAAAATATACAACATGTCATAAAAATAATGTACTATTTTTTTAATTTTAACTTACCTGGATCACCTAAATCATGTGGTACACTATATTTATATTTCCGTAACCCATAAGTACCACAGGCCAAATGTTTTCTAGTAATATTTAATGTACTGTCAACAGTATCTCTAAAATTGTATTGGATACACGCTTGTAATTTAGGCCATAATTTTGCTAATGTAAATGATGCATAGAAATGTACATCATATGTATTATACATACGATACTCATGACCTTCCAAATAACCAAAATAACCATATTCATATCTTGGGTCTGTCTCTTCAATGCAATTGAGATTCTCTTTAGGAGTTTCCAACCAAACAGTTCCGCCATCAGCAATAAAGTATACTTCATTGAATATAGCACTTTTATACCAATCAGGTAACAGTCTAAAATATAAATTAACTAATTAATTAATAAGATATGTAACAAAACATGAATTTTAATTAAAATATTATATTATAGTATAGTGTATAATAAAATAGTACAAATACCCATTATATTATAGAACCCAGTATACCTGGTGTCTACATTTTTCTGTTATATTGTAATATCGAAAAAATTATACAAATATTAAACAAAATTACATAATAAATGTGTACATATGTTGTTTAACTAATTTTAACTAAGTTTAACACTGTATAGATTAGAACCAGAGGTTACTCACGGGTCATTCAAAATAGGATTTTGCCATTTTTCAATTTCTCGTTCCCAGTTTTTATAATTTGTCATTGAATAATGCATTATTTGAGGACCAGCTTTGTTATTTTCACCAAAAAATTTAGTATAATACCTATAAAACATATACTATAGTATAAAATAATAAATAAATATTATTCAAAATTAAAATTAAGTATACCTTAAATACTCAATATTTGATTTAGGAAATTTTATTTTAGGCATATCTATAAATAAGCCAAATTCATAAATCTTTGAAGAATTTGGTGGTACACATTGTTTTATACAAATGGCACAAGCAACTTCTTCACCTCTCACTAAACAAACATAAAATAAAACATTTAATTTATAGTTTATACTTATTCATATTTTCATATATCATATAATTCTTGCTCACTGTATAAACTATTTTGGTTTAATTGTTGCATGTCTCTCAATTCTCCGAATAAATTTAAACTTTTTGATATAATCATTCCATTACTGTTCGGATCAAAGTTCAATTGGCTGAAAGTAGCACCTTCCTTTAGTAAAAATATAAATCAATTGCAATTAAAACAAAAAAATATTTGCAAGTTTTAAATGTTTTACTTTAATTAATCCACCAAGAACATAAGTGCATTGCATATTTTTAAAATGGTTGTGTATTAATGATCCAGAAACGTCAGTTCCACCTTCATTTAAACTGAATGGTTCACAGCTTGCTTCATCTAAAAAAAATATAAAACTATATTAATTTAATAAATAATATCAATTAGAATAAATTAATAGTATTTAATAATAATAACTATGTATATAATGATCAAAAACAAAAGAATCATCAAAGTAAAAATAAAAATTTAATGAGAGAATATTTTATTTTTACACATAATAAAATATCTAAATAGATGTTATAATCTTTAAGTAGAAAAATTATATATTTATTAAGGAATAAAGTCAATAATGACTAACACTATGAAAATCAGCTTAAAACTAAAGTTATAAAAATAATAATAATATTGAAATATTGACTCATTAAATTTCACAACACATTAGAATATGATATTCACAAATCAACTCCAACAACCCACAAATAAATAATTCAATGGGTTAAAAAGAAAATAATTTTAATTGTGTAGTTTGAAGTAAAATTGCATTGCACTCACCTGTATTATAAGATGAAACACCATTGCCACTAGCAAATGTAAATGTTAAACTAACAAAATATTGTTCGGAGCTGTTATTCTCTACTGTCCAAATGAATACACCGCCTGGTATAGAACTATCCTAAAAAATCATAATTCCAAAATCAATAGAAATATAATTTCAATTACAAAACTGAATTAAATATAATGATATTCTATACTTTATAATTATGAGGAATGACAGGTGAAATTTGTTTACAAATTATTTTAATATCTAATTCTGGAATCAAATATTCAGTCCATGATCTTGGATAAAGACCTGTGTACTTAGCTTGGTTTGCTGGAAAATCCCATTTCCAATTGTACAACGTTTTTTCATTTTGTCTGAAATTCATAAAAATAAACACACAATGAAATAATTTGACTGGACCTAGTTAAATAATATTTTCATTTTATTTTTCTCACTTCATACAAGACAGAACATTATTGTATACTGTAATATTCTCAACATTTTGAATATTAACTATGAACTGGTTTGCTTGGACGGTTTCATACTCGTACATACCAGGAATAACTTGGTAACGACAAAATTCTCCTTTAAAGCCACGGCCTATTGTCCCACCTCCAATACCGCCTAAAGGTACACCTGAAAATCATATATAAATACATATATAATTTGTTTACAGTGGTATGGAAATGATATATAACTAAAACAGTTCCTACCATACATATGTTTTGACTTAATTGTAAATAAAAAATCCATTATTGGTTTTCGACCCCTTAAAAAACATAATAACATGTAAAACAGATACCTAAAAAAAAAAAAAACATTTAAAACATTAAATATAAATTATTTAGAGCTGATGGGCCTTTATAATACATTAAAAACTAAATAGACTTGTTAATGTACTCATAACCTATATAACTAAATAATTTAAAAAATAATGTCTACAGTTTGTTAGATACATTTGTATATAATATTTAGTTATTGATATGGTAATTAAAAATATATTAGAAAGTCAAAAAACAACATTGCAGTCATAACACACTGATTAAAAATCACTAATCCAGAAATAAAACCAGAAGAATTAATTTTTATAACTATAATTAGATTATGTACATAAATCTAATCAAAATTGTAAACATTGTATAATTTATAAAATAAAATAAATTGAAATGGAGTGTTTTTTTTATTAATATTAATAGTTTATGTTAGAAGCCTTCCATGGGTAACAAAAATTAACCATACAAATATCCTTATAGAAAACATAAAAAAAACTTTTTCAAGGGTCTTTAAAGACAAAGTACCAATTATTTTATGGAATTTTCTACCAATTTTTGGAATTATAAAAAATTATTTTCCATGACAAAATTAATGAAAAAATTAATACAATTTAGTAGTGGCAATGAAAACAATTTAAATCATAAACTAGATTTTTTTTTAAAAAATAAATGTTCATCATTAGTAAATATTTGCAATACCAAATATTTGTTTTAAAATTATATATATTTTTAAAATGGCTATCTTGAATTTTAGTTTTAAAAAAATATAACATAGAGAAATCATAGAGCCTCTACTAATTATTACGAAAAAAAAAAAACTTGAAAATGTTGAAAAAAATAAATTTATTGCATTTGTCAGAATTCTGTGAAACACTCTATGTATCTCCGTGAAAATCCACAATCTGAATGAATTTCATAACCTGAGAATACAGTTCATGAAAAAACCAATTTCACTGAAGTGAACATAGGTACATTTTATTATGCTCATAGCCAATATTGCTATAAAATTTAAACTAGAATATTATAAAAATTCAATATTATATAAATAAGTATATGATATTAGCCAGCTAAATAATTGACTTGAAATCAATAAGTATTTACTGTTCAATCTCACAATTAAAATGATGAAGATTAAGATTAGGTTGGATTACACAATGTAACATTTTTTTCTGCCAACATTATAAAATACTATATTAAATGTCTGTATAAAAAAATTGTTTAATCTTACCTATAGATATTAAAAAAATAATTAAATAATAATAAAATTATCAGTTGTTGGGTGCATTAAAAACTTAATAAAAATATTATATGAAAATTATTTTTTTTTTTTTTTAGTTTAATCAAATACACATTAAGACATTAAGACTGAAATTAAAATTCAGATACTAGTTATATAAACCTAATAGATAAACAATGTGGACAAAGTATTAAAATAAAAAAACCAGAACCAAAAGTAATTGATTATTACTTATTATATGTGATAAAATGTATTATCATGTTAAATACTTATTCCTATACCATAGACATATTAATAAGTGGACTCATCATAGAAAGAGAGGTTCATATACCAACATTGTTAGAAAGAGGATGGCATACAACTTAAGACAGTCATAGGACAACAAATCAAATATCATGAAAAATACTTAATTTTTAACTTAAAATGGTTCTTCAGAGTGCTATTAAAACCTGCAATGAAAAGTATTAGTATATTATAATATTTTATATAATCACACCTCCAAATTTCGAAAATGTGATAATATGTGATTCCATAATAACTTATTTTTTTCTTCAATGATTTTTTTTTTAAACTATACTCTATCTCTTTCATATACATGTATAATTTCTTTAATCTTTTTTTAACAATGTTGGTTTCACGGAGACATAGACTGGATATGTAAAAGGCGCAGTCCATTTATTAATATGTCTATGCCCAATTTTTATTTATTTTTTTTTGTAATCTTGACTGATTAACATGTCATATGCATTATAACATAATATATATAATTATATCGTCTACAGATTTCAATCTAATAATTGGTTTACAATAATTTCCATGTTTCTCATTAGCTTTCCTTTTTCCTTTCTTCTTGGCCGATCCCAAGTAGGATGAATTTGAGTAAAAATAAAAAAAAATATTATATTTAAAAATTGCCTAGGTTTTATTTTTATTGTAGCTATAATACTCATATCACAATTTTAGTTATGTTCAGAGTATGTTTTAATAGTAAAATAATGACTTGTCAAAAATATTTTTAGTTTATGTTAAAAATACAGAATAAACAATTGGGTACTTAGTTGTAAATTATTATCTAAAAAGATATTTTAAGTATTTTATTTTATTTTTTAGGCAATCCTAATAGTAGGTATATTTAGTGGGATTGGCCTAATAATATGCGATTTACAAAATAATAATTATACTGAACAATGACCCATATTTGAAAAAAATAGTTACTCATGATAAAAAAAACAAATATAAAATATGATGATTGTATTCCAAGCAAAGTATTTACTGAAATATTTCCTATATAGATAGGTACAACAAGCATGAATATTATTTTCCAACAACAAAAAATGTAAGAAAAACATAAGCAGCTATATTATTATTAATAATCAACTTAAGAAAAACAAGTAAAAATATACCAAACCTAGGTATTCAACTTATACTTGTGCAAATTTTACCTGATTATCAGAGGTAACATTTGTAAAATTTGCTTGAACTTTGGTATATAATTGGGCGTTCTGGGATCGGGAAACTGATGGTCGAGGTCTACCTTCCAGCCGTACCGCGGTACATCTGAAGACATGACGCAGCGAAACAACTCCTCACTTCTGACAAAAATCTGGTACCCGTCAAACAAAAAAAAAAATGAATTTAATAAAACAAGTACGGTTATTAATTCATTATAAAATAATATTTTAAACCTATAGCACCAATAACACGCAATTACAATATTAGATGTTGAATTAAACGGCGTCTACCTATTATGAATGAGCTCTACGTAATAGTGCACTTTGCTTCTCCAACGAGCAAAATACAAAAAGACCGACTCGGACTGAAAAGTGCCGAAACGCCGAATAGCCAATGACGATGACCGAGCTACAACTGTTGGAATAACGTTGTACGCAGGTTTATCAATATTGCCGGACGACAACGATCGCAATACCGTGTTTTCCGGCCGAGTGCCGTAGTGTCGTCTGGCCGTCCGAGCGTCAGCTGCCGAAGGTTTCCGGTCATTGTTCATTTGTTCCCCTTCCAGTTCCCGTTGATACATTGCTCGTCTTCGGCCTTCGGGCTGCTCCATAGGAAAAAGAACACGACCTCGTAAAATGCGATGTAAAGATAACGGACTGTCGTCCGAACCGTCGAACGTGTTGTAACCGTCATCTTTAATATCATATTATATAAATAAATGAATAAAAATATCGTTTACCAGCTATGCGTACGTCGGTTTCCACGAGTTTTTCTGGGGAGGAGGGGATTGAGGCGAAATTGCGCGACCGACCCGAAGCGTTCGCGATGAAATTTACGTTTCATACTGTCGGCGTTTATAAAATTGAAAAACACACAGAACGCGTTAAACTTGTACAGTACAATTATTTTAATCACAATAAATATTATGGATGCGAATTGCGTCAAACAGTCCCGCACTGGGAAAAAATGGTAGTTTTTAGTCATCGCGATTACCGACGATTTTCCGGTATCACCACTGCCAAGGTACCAACGACAGTCGAAATATAATTATAATATTGATTAAAACGTAAACATCTGGGAAAATTGATAAAATCAATAATTTACACGAGGTGGATCATGTTGTGATACAGTATTTCGATTTTAACCGCAGTTGGCAGTCGCGATAACCGTAAAGTACCGGAAAAAAGTCATCGAGTTTAAATTTAATCAATTTAATTGATTGTTATTCACAGAAACAAAACTTGAATTAATTATGTTTAAATAAGTTTTAGCAAAATATTTAAGACAACACTCCGTAGAACTGTTTTTTTGAACACCTCCAACGAATAAAATTAAAACATTCTTTGTGGTAAGTATTTTCGGCATAGTTCTAGTACGCGATTTTTCAAAATTTGTGTTTTTGCGCGTACATTAATCGGGTTTACCGGGTAGCGTATTTATTTGTTAGAATTTAACACATTTTCAAATATTTTTTCCCCCGAAATGTGTAATTTTTTAATGCTCAATTCATCGGTATAATCAAAACTTACCTACCTATCGTCAGAGGCGGTATTAGAGAGGGAGGGGGGGGGAGCTGGGGATTAATCTCCGGACGTAAAATTTTAGCGGGCTTGTGGTTCAGTGTTTGATGTTGGAAATGAGAAAAATATTTTTATTTCGCATAATCTGTTTATGATGTGGTGGTGGCCACGTTCGTAGCAATGCAAATCGAAAAAAAAAAACAAAATCATACACAGCCCGAAATATCTAATCGCCGTTATATTATTAATCCGATACAGCGCGATCGGCGTACGTTGACGGTCGACTGTACACACTACACTGAGACAGATCACGAAATTACAGACTGATAATAAAAATGATACATGTATAAAACATAAACCCATAAACGTATATGAATAATAAATATAAATATAATATATATAGAGAGAGATAGAGAGAGAGAGTGATTCTTTTATCGTTGTACACTAGTTATTTCGCAAAACATTGAATTTTTTTTTGTTTCTCGATTTAAGAAACAGGCGGATCTAAAATTTTACATCTTCGCGTTTCTTGTATTATTTGTGTGGCGTTTGAATAGTACTCAACCGAAAAGAGTAAATATTTTGCGAAATAATGAATGTTTAACGATAGAAAAATCATATTGTACATAATAAATATGAACGTTATCCTTGTTATGGTGAGGACGAAAACAGTACAAAACTAATTACCATAATCATAAACACATTATTTTGCCATTTGTCATTTACATGTCGTTATATGATTGGGCGTAATTTTAACATTTTCCCCGGGCGTAAAAAATCCTAGTTCCGCCTCTGCCTATCGTGCTAACTTTTAAAGTTTTTGTACGTTAACTTTAAAAATTAACATTTTTGGAATAAATCTGAAATGTGATCAAAAAAACCAGAGGCGGTCCAGATGTATATTACGAGGAGCAATCGCTACCAGGTGCTAAAAGGGTGGGTGGATGATGGGTAAATGGGTAGTTCAGTAATTTATAATTTATACTTAATACCTAGTTGAAACAAAAGGTATAAGTTTATATTAAATTGGTGGATTATGGTGGGTGAGTGGGTACCGGGTGGATAGTAATGAGTCTGCTCTTTGCGTACTACATCCTCGGGTGCACTGTCAATAATAGATATTATTATTACGAAAATAACCCTAGAGAGTGATCACATTGGGTCTCTAAATCCACCTATAATGCCTTTTCGTTTTACCCTGTTACTTATACGACTATACCCGACGTAACTCTAAAACTAGGCCAGATAGACTTATTCTGACTTCAATAAAAAAAACTTTGTTATCAAAATATCAATAACTACAAATAATAATAATAAAAAAATGTCTATTTCTGACCACATTTTGGATTAATTCCAAAAATACTATTTTTTTAAGGTATTAATATTATAAAAAACTATAAAAGTAAGTACGATAGGTAAGTTTTGATTATACCGATGGATTAGGCATTAAAAGTTTTGGGGGAAAAAAAATTTGAAAAAGTTAAATTTTAACTAAGAAATACGCGAAACGGAAAACCCGAACTTCCTAAAGTTTTCTCTCATAACTTCCAAACGAAATTCGTTCTACTTCTTTTTTCACATTCTTAATGTACACGTAAAAACATACATTTTGAAAAAAAACAAAACAAAACATCGCGTGGAAGCTAAACCTAGAATCGTTTCGTATTTCCTGTTAGAATTAATTAATTCCATTTTGAAAGGAAAACATAAACCACGCGAAGATGGAATCAATATAAATATTAACTACGAAAACAATAACCTCACTGAATTAAATTGTTTACGATTCACGAATCACTATACCATGACTGTGCAATACAACTAGGAAGTTCGTAGGGTACCAAAACCAAATAGGTATACCTATAGAATTCGTTTATTATACAGAAACAACTTTTATTTAAAGTGAGTTGCTCACCAAGTAGGTCGCTAAAAGACACGGCATACCAATCAATATTTAAATAAGTGTATAGGGCAATTTTAAATATACAATACAAACAAATATTACTAAATTTACGATACGAGTGGATAAAAAAATTAATTAAATAATTATAAGATGGAATCAATAATACCAAAATTAGATAGTTTATTACCTACTTTTAGATTCTGAATGGAGTGAAGAAGCTTATTCTCAATAAATGGGAAAAAAATTGGAGAACAGTTTGTACAATATAAAACATAAAATTGAATGTTAATTAATATAACAACATGGGTAGGTATATAACTTTGATAAAAAGACAAAAAAAAAAATAATAACATTATTTAGGTTTATATTTCTATCTAATAATAAGATAAAGGCGTGTAATATATCAAAGTAAGCAGTTAATAATATAACAGTTGTCTTTATTAAGGTTTGGGATTTAAAGTTCTAAGTCCATATGATTCTATCCATGTAATGTTTCAAGGAACGGTGCTATGAATATATCGTCCCGGGCTCCTTGAAACTTTCTCAGGGGGCATTTCTGGACGATATATGTTTGATATTTTGTACTGGGTTTCCACAGTCATATTGGGTTTCATTCCCCATTTGAAAAGCACTTTTTTGTAGTTCGAGCATGTCCGATTCTAATCCTGTTAAAGGCAGTTTCATGTTTTCCTGGATAAAAGTACGGTCATTTATGACTGGCGTGGCTACGTTATTGATAGTGGTTCTGCGAATTTGGACCACCTCATGTTTCATTATTTTTCCAAGTTGAATGTTTGTCCCATATAGACTTTCTAGACTTAAGCCTAGGTTGGAATACATTATTATCTATAGAAACTGATGAATCGGATACGTTCTTGAATTGATTTAGCAGTTTATCTTTTGCCATTCTTTAGTGGTTTTCTGTTTTCGTCTAAGGTTGAAAGGTTCTATATTTGATAGAGTAAGAAGCTGCGGTTGGAGAGTGGATTTCAAGTCGCCCGATATTATTCTCATTGTATCGTTTAATTGAACGTCAACTTTGTCCGTGTGGGAGCTTCTCTCCCACACTGAAACAGAGTACTCATAATACTGAGTACACGAGTCTACGAAAACTTGTACCCCTATGCGTAAGCTGTGTGCTTGAACGCCCTAATTTGTTCCTACAACTTTTCTAATGATATTGTTCCTATTTTGTTGTTATTCCTAATTTGTGTCTCATTGTTTCAAGATGTTTTCAATAGATTATGAATCTATCTAAGGCGATGCCTAATTATTTTAGATTCATATTGTATTTTATTTCCCACAGAAATGTGCATTGAGTTCAGTGCTTGTTTAGTAATACCTACCGAATAAAATTACAAATAAAGACACGGAAATATCAAATACATATTAATAGCTTTAAAATTGATAGAATGTTTTGAAAATGTTACCACGTCTATAAAAGGACAATCGCCAATGTATTTTATGAAAACTATAGGTCTCTACAATAATTTTTAACCAAATTACAACTTTGCCGTATTTCCTACGCTTTTTCCTGGTAAAAACTACACGGAAAATCAAACGATACTCTTCATCACAAAATATACTCATCTTGAAATTTGGAAAATGATTAATAATCTTAAAAATTTTAAATAATGAAAGTAATATATTCAAATATAACGATTTTTCGGTTGATGATATTTTATTTTAAAAAATTTTCGAAAGTAAATACCTTTTCTTCAATGAACTTTTGTGGGTTTTTTTTTAAAAAATATAAGTTATTACTAATAACTTGTTAGTAGTTAAAACCAATGAGGTATATTTTGCCTAAAGACAAATGCTCCAGATTTTTTCACGCAGTAGTACCTCAAAAGATACAGGATTTTATTCCAGTAGTAGGTAATTAATTTGAAACATTAAGTTTCGAATTTGTCAGAAATTCACCAATAAGTAAGTATCTAATTTTTGTTATTGTTTAATTTTCGTTGATTTCTTCGTTATCTTGGAAACGAGAGAAGAAATACTACTCCGCTCAGGATCGGTTTTTGTTTGCCATGATTTATCGTTGCATCACGTATATAAACTAAAATATTCTGTACCATCCGTACATTCCCAACTATATCTACAGCTACTTACAGAAGTTGTATACATGTGGGCTGTGCAAACAGTATCAACTGTTTAGTTTTTTTACTTACCGTTAAAAAAATTAATTTTTAGATAAGTAGATATACTCGTGTTTTCCGATAAGATATTTTACCTATCTCAGTGGAGAGCAGCGCTGGAATTTATTTGTAAACAGTAAGTATTTAGTTATTATTATTATTATTGGATTTATTGGTAGGCGAGTACAAAATCGTTAAGTATAGGTCATCATGGAACACATTTTGATATAGATAAGTCTTATACTCAAATTAGGTATAAAAGTACTACATAGTTACCTAGTTAGTTTTTTGACCAAACAATAAAAAATTAATGACAAGACAAGTAAGTAGTTATAAAAAATATCGATTTCTCAGGACGGAAACGCACCGCAGTCGCATAGGCATCATTATGAATATTTTAAACGGTAGCATCGCTGCAACGTTTTTAATTTTTATTAGTATACAACAGCAACTGTTTAAAATATTTACTATCATACCCACTAACAAGACGGTACGATACGCGAACGTTAAATTAATATGAATTTTCTGTGACCCAACAAATATAATTTACATACCTATAATGTTCCATAGGTTCACACATACATAACTACGAAAATTAGAGGAAAAACGAAACTTACCAATTATCGATCGATGATTTTTAATAGTAGTGCATCCAAATTTCAAAAATCAAATTTTCGGAGAATTTTGGCAAGTAAAAACTATTCCCATCGGCACTTTAATAGATACCTATACCTATACCTACCGGCTACCAATGGGCAATAAATTTATTTAGTCATATATTTATGAGTATACCTATACTGTGGCCTTCTCTCCTGTTAGTTTGAACGTTGGCCTAGATTTATCTGCCAACATGTTCAAAATTATTTCGAACGTAAAAACATTAATAATGTTGATATTTTAGATCTCTGCATGCTAAACATTTCGCCAAAAACCGGTATATTGTCACATGGAGTGTTGATTAATGATTAGAGTTGTCCCCAGCAGCTGTTTTCGCTATTTAAAAAATATACCAGTTGCCCTCAATATAAAATATAAAATAGTGCATACAGTATGTCTAGAACAAAGAGGGTAATTTCACCGAAACGAGTAATTTTAGACAACAAAGAAAATTATCTTCAATAAAAAATGACAAGCAGTTAAAGTAGAAAAATTTCAAAATGACAAACTATTTTTTTTTATTATCAATAACCACTAGATAGCTTAAGTATCATAAAAAAAAAAATTAATTGACTTTATCGCAAATTCACAATACGCGTGTTATTGTCATCTAATTATTATTATTAATAGTAATAATAGATAATAACTTAACTGAGGATTATTACTAAGTATTAGTAACTAGATAGTTATACCGGACTGACATTGGATTGCAGATTCGCGGTTTTGTTTTAATCGTTCATAATTATTTGTAGAAAAGTTTCCACAATAAAACAGAGTAACATTTTAAAAATACAGTAGAAAATTATGAAACTATAAATATCAATACATATTTAAATGTCATTGCTCATAATTTTACTTTCTAAATATTTGGATTTTATATTATTTTAGATTCTGAGTGTAGTGAAAATTGAGTATTGGTTTTACAAAGATGTTTATTTTTTTAAATTTTTATGTGAACACTTTTTCTACCAGAAAACTTAATCCAATTTACAATAATAGCACTTTTCTTGAAGGGAAATCTAACTGGAATGGTACTTTAGGAAGATAACTTTTCGATTTTCCCAAGAGTTTTTTTAACAAATGTAAAAACCGGAAAAAAAATTGGAAAATGGGTACAATATTAAGCCATCCAAAAAATGTATTTAAAAAAGGCATTCTGCAATTATTGGAATCTAATAAGTAATAACAAATTAATTTTATAATATTAATAATACTTTAATTTAATGTAATAATGTTAGTAAATTTAGTTTATCATATACTTGTTTAATTTTGGAATTTCAATTTTTATGTAATTAAATTCAGAATTCCTGGGTCCTCACATGAGTCTTCTCAGTGGGGCTCAGTACTCATACCTGTGTGAAATAAAATAAAATAAATAACAGGTAGCCTTGACATGGTTGTCATAGTAGACAAAATGAGAAAAAATAGATGATAGAGATGGTTTGAATATTTCATGGGAAGAGAGGAATCTGAAGCAGTAAGAACTGTAATGAAAATAAATGTATAAAGAAAGAGGTGGGGGAGAAAGACCAAAAAAGGGTGGTTGGATACGATTGAGAATATGAAGACATTCAACTGGGTCAAGTAGAAGTTTAGAATGAGGATGACTGACCCCAAATAATTGAGATGTAAGTGAAGGAGTAGGGAAGCACTTGAATACATATCTTCAAATTTTAATGGCAATATTGAGAGTATGCAGTGCATAAGTGTGTGCTTATAAATGCGTTTTTAGTGCATGAATTTACAATTCCTAGTAATATGAATACTTGAAAGCTATACGAAACTATCAAAAAAGTTTTAAGAATTTAAACTGTAGCAATTGTTAATTTAAAACCATGAATTTATAAAATATATTTAGGTATTTATTTTGCATTGACCAATTAAAAAGCATTTTTTCTAGGTAGTTACTATAAAAAGATGGCAAAGGGGTATTTTATAAATGATTACTATACCACTGAACGTATTCTCATCTCACTAATCCTATTCAGTATTCATCAATAATATTGTACCCTAGATATATAAATATATTAGCTTCCTAGAATACCTATAAAACCATACCACAAGCTATGATTTTCTTCAGTACTACATGGTAAGATAAATTAATCTTTTTTTCCCAACCAACTGTTTTTAACGTGATAATATTATTACAAAATATATTTGGAATTAAGAATTTGTTTAGAATCTACAAATTGAAATTAGGAACAATTTTAATTATATATTTATTACTATAATTATGACAAAATAATTTGGTCTTGATTCACAATTACTACTTGTCATATCATATATATATATATATATAAATATATATACAGTGTGGGCCACCATGTTTCCCACCTAACCTAAATAGTTAACACAAGAAAACATGATTGATCACTCTGTATGTATATATAATTTACAAAAAAAATATGTTAGTTTACACAATTTATCTACAATCAAAATAAAACATATTTACACTGAATATTAAAAAATATAAAATAAAAGTATATATATAAAAACACTTTTTTAACTAAGTTAAATTAATACATAAAACCAAATTACCTACATATTTAATTCTCATTTTTTTCCTTTTTCATATTGGAACTGAACCAGAAATGTGTCTTAAAAATTAAAATTATACATATTATATTTTACTTATATCTAAACTTCAGGTAACAAAGGTTAAACTTTACTATATGTGAACTATGGAAACTACATAAGTAGTTTTATTTATAAAAGACAGTCTTATAGGAATATGTTTTTATATAATAATAATAATAAAAAAACTATAGACTATTAAATTGCACACCTGTGGAAAGAAAAGAAAAAAAGGAACTAAACCTATACTTGAAAAAAAAAAAAATACACTGGCTTTGGCATTGAGCAATTTCAATTTGATTTTTACCCATGTGGTGAGTAACTCACAGGAATTAAAAAACAAAATGTTAAATAAATATTGCAGAGATGGGTGATATATTATACAAATAATTTGTTTTTACATTTTTTATACAATATATATAAAAAAATAACAATTTCATAATAACCAAAATATAAATTGTGAGTACACAAACTGAAGCATGTTAATCAAATTTAAATTTTATATAAAAGTATTATTCAAAATATAAATAATTACAGGTAAAAATGTAATATAATATTTGAGAGTATGTTATTATATCCATATATTTTACTGTACCTCTATTAAATAGCATATATGGACAAATATACAAAAACTTAAAATGAGACATTTAGGTTTAATTTAGGTCTCTAAACTCATGAATAAATTTAAATGATAATTTTTTTTTGAAAAATAATATCTACAAAAATAATTAAAACCATTTAATAAAATGACAACTTTCTGATTGAATAACATTTTGTAAAAAAAAGATTATGGTCCCAAAAAATATTTTATCTATTAAAATCAATTAAATTATTTTTAAATTGCTTTTCTGAAAATGTGTAAGATTAAAATGTATAGTAATTTAACTTCCACTCAAGTTAAACAGTCAATAATTCATTAAGTTAATATACTTTATAATAATAAAAAAAAAAGAATAATGAGTCAATTTTAATGTATAAAAGTGAAGGAAATCACATAAAAATGCATTTAGTTAATATACAATGTTTTTAAATTAATTAGTATAGATATCTGAAAAATGTGAAATAGAAAAATGAAAATATTTATAATAGTATTTTATATGTAACGATTTGAACATTTTACATTGTTTAATTAATACTACGAGTGATATGGATTAATACAAAATTTAACTTTTTTAAATTTCAATATAATCAGCCACTTATTTTTTCATTTATACATAACTTGTATAGTTTCAGTACTGTAAGGAGCAATATATTTTATATGATAAATTTAAATCAGATATTTTTAAAAAATAGCACTACATGTTTGAACTCTAAATATTGCATTCATTTAGTATTGATAATCACTAAAACAAGTTTATGCGGTACATACTTAAGTATAAACATACACATTTAAAGAAAAATATAATCCTTCCTCCTACCAAAGAAGTTTGTGTTTTAAAAACATTTGTTTGAAGGCTTAAATTAATTTAAACCATATCATTAATGTAATAGAAAAAAAACTAGTGCAGGTTTATTTGAATTTCTCATAATTTGAAATAAATTTAAAAATATAAAATTTTGAAACTGTTTACATTTATAATATATTAATATTTTAATAAGACATTTTTCTTCATTTTATGTAGTTTCAGAATAAATTGTTGAATATTTAAAAAATATAAACTGTACGAATTGTATGTAAAATTAACTTCTGTATATATAACATAGACCCATCTCTGCATATTTGACACAACAATTAGGAACTATATAAATATAAAAACAAAATATACCACAATATAAAAGAAATTTTGATCTAAAAAATTAATTCTATTAAAAAAAAAAAAATAAAAATAAAATTATGGTCAGCATAAAGTGGTATTTATACCATTACCATTATGTACGGACATATATCCATTAGGTGGCCTCTTGCACACTATGTTTTCAATGTGTGTCTGATGCAGCTCATTATCAGAGTCTTCTTCATCATCATCATCATCATCATCTTCTTCAAGATTTGCTTTTGGTGCCAACCGCTCGAGGGGCAAAGATGGTCCTCCCCAATAATGTGCTTGATTTGCTAATACTTTAGTTATATTGTCTCGTTCAATTTGCTTACGCTCTCTTTCTGAAATCTCTGTCTCTGTGATACCATTTTCAGATGCATCTTGTCTTTGAATTTCAGATTGTAATTCGTTATGATAAAAGGATAATTTTGCAAACTCTGGCCGAGCACATGGCAAGAACATCTTCACTATTTCAGCAAATGTAGGGCGCTCTGAAGCTTTAAAACGCCAACATAGCTTCATACAATCATATAAAATGTCTGGACAATTATCTGGTTTTTCCATAATACCACCACTACTTATATATAATATCACATTCTTATCACTTTCACCCTAGGAAAATTTGTATTCATTAATAATAGTAAAAATAAATAAGCTAGAAATGTACAATATTATATATTATTATATTCACCCTATATGGTTGAGCTGCTAAAGTCACCATTTCCCATAGCACAACACCATAACTCCAAACATCAGAAAAACAAGTGAAAAGACCAGATTGAAGACTTTCTGGAGCCATCCATCGAATTGGCATCATACCTTCGGAATCTGAACCAAAATCTACACTTCATTAATTATCAAAACATTCAAAAACAATAATTATTTACCTTTTCTATAATAATCTGTTTGATAAATATCCCTTGTAAGACCAAAGTCACCGACTTTAACAACATTGTTTTCACAAACCATACAATTTCTAGCTGCTAAATCTCTATGAACATATTTTTTGAATGAAAGGTATGACATTCCATCCGCAATTTCAATAGCCATACGTAAAGTATCCTGTTAAACAAATAATTTACATAAAGAACAAATTATAAATGCTTTTAAAGCAAATACCTTTAAAGTCGGAGGTTTAAGAGAAGGATCAGTTGACATTTCTGGTCTATGTTTGAGCAAATATGTCTTAAGATCACCCTGAGGCATTAATTCCATTAGAACAAATGCTGGTTGACCTTGTGACACAACACCATAAAGACGAACAACATGAGCAGTACAAAATTCCCTTTAACAATATGTACAGAAATAAAGTAAGGTCACATAATATAATATATTTATTCTAAAAATCAAAATTAATAAATAATATATTTTTGTTAGTTTAAACTTACTTCATAACATTAGCTTCTGATAGAAAATCATGTCGAACCATCATATTATTATTTTCAGCAACAGTTTTAATAGCACACGGTATTATTTCATCTTTTTTTTTCCATTTGCCACGATACACCATGCCAAAAGAGCCACGACCTAATGGTTCTAAGACTTCAACATCACTACGTGGAATTTCCCATTCATCGGGTCGGTAGCCATAGGAATCTAAAAAAATGATAAATTATAATAAACATTGGCAGAAATTCTATAAGTTAGGTTTGGATATCATTGAATAATACAAATTATTTATAGTAGTATTAGTAGTAGTTAGAACTACTACTAACTTCTTTTAACAATGCCATATAACTACTTCAGATCTAATTCATTAAGACAAATAATCAAGATATCAGAACAATAATTAAAAACTAAATTTAATTTAATTTAATAAAATTTATTAAAAAATGAAATATCTATAATATTTCAAAAATGTGATGATGAATCTTGAGTGCCCTCATACAATTCTGAATTGCATCCAATCTCCTCTTTTTCAGTCTTCCTCTATATTTCTTCTTACATTTATTTGAATACTATTTTGACTGTTTATAATTCTTCACTTCTAAAAACACGCTAAACCATCTCAGTCTAATTTCTCTGTTTCTTCTTATTTAATCATTTCTTATCTTCTCTTGTTACTTCACTCATCCACCTAGGTATACTCATCTCTGATATTAATTTGCTATCTACTGCCCAACATTCTAAACTATACAACATAGTTAGTCTCACCACACTAATGTGGAACTTACTGTTATATATCACTAGAATTCTCTTATTACATAAAACACCTAACACTTCTCTTTCCACTTAATCTAATCACACTTAATTCTATATTAAACATTATTGTCTTTATTTTTTCTCCATACATCAAAAATGAAACAATTTTAAAATCTTGTTTAGGACTCTTCAAACTATTTGACAAATTCTTTACACTGACTGTCGACCTGGCACAATCCTATTTGTGCCTCTTACAACAGGTACTGTGAGAGTATTTGGATTCTATCCCACAGGGATTGACATTCAAATTTGAAAACAATGATAGAAATATATGACTTTTTAATAATTAAAATTACAATAAATTAGTAAAATTTATTATTGATTCAGTATTTATATTATTCATAAATGATGCAGGAGATCGAATAAAGTGGAATGTTAGAATTAATGTGGTCGACCCAAAATTGATGGGAAATGAAGCGAGATATGTACCAATAGAGGAAATAAAAAAGTTTTTTTTAAAATTATAAAATAATTAATACTTTATTTATATAATATATAAAAAATATATAATTCTTTACAGTTCTATACTGGATAATAATTTTTATTAGTACTTACCATACACATTACAAGAGATATAATCTGGATTGCAGGTAGCAAATAACCTTTGTGAAGCCAATTTCTTTTTATAGTAATGATGTAAAATTAGGAATAACACAATAATCACAGAACATATAATTCCAGCTACCATTAAGATGATACACATTAATTGAGTAGTAGTAATTGAAGGCAAATCCTTAAATCATAATTAGTTGCAATTAACAAAATAATAATTTATAATATAATTTTATAAACTTACAGGAATGAAAAAATGTTTATACTGTGTAAATTCTCCAAATCCAGCTAAAGACTGAACACGTAACCGAAAGCTATAATTACCAGGGGCTACATTTGACAAATAATGTGAGTTATCATTTTGTTGAAACTGTTGCCTGGTTATACAAACCACTGGTGGGTTAAGCTATTTAAATAAGTAAAATACAAACAAATTTTTTATTTTCATTCTGAAATGATTTAATTACAGACAAATTGTTATTATTTTTTGAACATACATGATCTCCAACTTTTTTATACTCCAACAGATAGCTGACAATAGGTCCATTGGAACCTTCTGGCTCTTTCCAGATTATCTTAATTGATAGAGGGTTAGAATTATTTGTACGATCTGTTGAAATTGTTGATGGATCAATTCTATCCGCAGATTCTAATATCAAATAAAATATAATACATTAAAAATAAATTAAGAAAAGTATATTTAATTTGAAAAAAATCAATGAATATACAAATAATTGTATTGTTACTTTTGATTTTTTAGCCTATCAATGATTGGAAAGTGATTTTCCATATTAAATTTGATCAATTTGGTTTATGATGAAAGGTTACAATTTGATGCACTATTTGCACAAAATACAAATCTTCATTTTATATTTCATTTCATTGCACTGTATGTATACCAACTACACAACTGATTTTGGTGGTATAAATATTACAACAAATTAAATTTTTTAACCCAGGAAGTGAATAATAATTTTATGTTCTGAGATAGCAACCGAAAAATTTATTAAAATTGACTTGACATTTATTAAAGTACTAAAAACTTTAACTTAAAAACAAGAAATAATAATGCTGATGGGTGATTTACTGCTGTAGGTGGGAAATTGAGAAGTTTGGATACATAAAGTGATTCAATCTTTATCTGTTTTTAAGTGAAGTTAACTGAATTTCACTTACATGTATGAAAAAGCTGTGATTTTTAAGATTTTTATTAACAACTTAAATTAAGAGCTTATAAAATAAACCACTATATTACACTCAAGTTTTTGAAACATGAAATATAATTTAAGATAAACTCTTTGTTAAAATTTTCAAACAGTTTGGCTTGGTTAAAAAATTTAATTAACGTTAATTGAAAAAATTAACATAAAAAATGACAAGATTTTTAAAATTTTCATTCAAATTTAAACTTTAAACGTGTATATATATATAAAAAAAATACATTATAGTCTACTTTTTTCAACTTCAAGTTCGACCTCATATAAAATTTTCAAGAATTTCTGTTAGCATACTAGTACAGTATAAATAATTTATAAAAAAAATGATTTCTACAATGAACTAAATCCAATTTACTACCATAAAGTTATAGTTTTTAATTAGAACAACCTTCTGTTTGAAGTCTAATTAACATAAAACACACATCAAAAACCAGTAGATTTCTCAATCTGCTCAGAATTAAAAATACATTAATGTAATAAATATTTAAACAACAGATTTTCTTTTCTGTGAATAAACCTAGTTCATATTTCCATATTTAAACCTAATCTTTTGGAATTGTTGCACTCATGCAAGTTCTGGTGCCTATTAATAATTTGCAGATTATAAAATCTATAACTATATTATTGGAATTGAGAATAAAAAAGCCCAGACTTAGGAAAAATAAGGCCTGACAAAGGGAAAAAAGTTATTGGAATCTTAAAAAAAATTGTTTAGGTTTAACTTCCATCACATAAAAATAATAACTGATGAACGAAAAAACCATACTAAACAGGATATTATGATGTAGGTATACTTTTGTTAGAAATCTATTTACCTATGTATATTTATCTTATTTATCCGATTTATTGCTTGAAAGATCTTATACAGGATAGTAAAAAATGATATGCTGTAAGAATATTTGGACTCTAGGTTTTTAAATAATAATTTTAGTATATTTGTAGTCAATTTATCCATATCGGTTGTTGTAAGAATATTTGATTGCAGTTTTTTAAATATTAAATAATCTTTTTTTTCCAGAGCTCTTTTTTTCTAATACCGTATTTTTATAATGAAAACAGTGATAAATTATAGTCAAAACATTATAGGCTTTAATTTGTATAAATAAATAAAATACATTTAATCTATACATGAATACATTTATCTTACCCTTTTTGCTTGTTTTAGCTGTAGTCATTGCTTTTTGTAAACTACAATGACTAATTCCATCTGATATATTTTCATCTTTATGAACTTCTCGACAAACATATAACTCAATATTATAATCAGTAAAATGAGTTAAATTTTCTTTCAGTGTATACGTTAATGTATTGCTATCAACAAAAACTGAATTACCACCTAAAAAAAAAATAAATAAATAAATAAAAAAATTAATTGTATAATAATACATTGTTGCGGTTGGTATATCAGACATTGCGTGGCTGGATTCAAAGAATTCATTCACCCGTATGGACGAGCACCATGCACTATAACCCAATAGCATTACCTGTGTTAAAACTTATTGTTATAACTATCTTATTAATACTGAATACATTAAATCAATTCTAATAACTTGAGTATTAGTTTATTTACCATTGATCCAATACAAAATCTTATCTACTATGTTTCCTCATATTGTTCGTATATATATACAATGAAACCTATATATAACGGATAGTTATAAGACCATGGAAAATGTTTGTTATAGACAGGTGTCTGTAATGCACAGGTACTGGAGGTGGCATTGCAAAGGTAAAATTTAAATGAACTAAGTAAAATATACAACACTATAATAGCGAAGCAATTTTTACACACTGAATAATCTTTAAGTTTGATACGCGTTTTTGGTTATTTTCATCCTTTCAATTATCTTTATTCTTATTATCAAACATGTAATTTGTCATACTCGGTATTTTGAAATAGTTAATGCTATTGCGTGATATGTACATACGTACACTGTATACATTTGCAAAATATTTGATTTTGAACCAAGTTGTCTGTTATTAAGGTATTGGTGAAAAATATTATTATTTATGTCCATAATAGAAAGAGTCCATTATAGATAGGTCAAAATACATTAGAATACTTATTATTTTGCAGGGACCAGTGCTGTAATATACCTAGATACTTTTTTTGTATCAACAAAATACAAAAATATAATGTTAAGTTCTAAAATATAATTTATTTTAAATAAAAATATCAACAATTTATTGTTGATATATATTATTTTATGATTTCTTTATTATTATAAATTATTATGTATGAGTGTATGACTATTGTGTATTAACAAGTTGTTAATATCCATTATTTATTTTATATTTACCAATAATTAACCAATATTTTAATATTGCTATATATTAATTATTATAACTGACAATGAGTGTATTACAAATCATGTACCCACTACTTGTTTTGTTATAATTTTGTAATTCTATGTTTTTAATGAATTAAATATTTATAACAAAATTGTCTGTTTTCTTAAATATATTTTAAGATACTTGTATCTATATCTAGATACTTTAGAATCAAATATATCTGTATCTAGATACTAATTTAAAGTACCTTATTACGGCACTGGCATGGACCTTATTATTTTGTCCATTAAGACAGATTTCACTGTATGTATACAGTGTGATTCAAAATTTTTGTTACAACCATTTTATCAGGTTAATATTTAAAATAATAAAAAGTGAACAGTAAAAAGTTTTTTGATTTATAAACATTAAAAATAATGTGTAATTGTTTTTATTTATTTAATCTAGGAGATTGAAATTCAAAGCTTGAGAAATTATGTTTTGAAGTTTCATAATCAAATTTCGGAAAAAAGTAAATACTTTCTGAGATAATGAGTGTACCCATTTAAATAGATCATCAGGTATATATTTTTCTTTATTTATAATATTTACATGATAAAATAGCTGTAACATAACTTATGAATTACCCTGTACATATATTATACAAATATTAATGATAAATTGAATTATCAGTCACATTTTAAACTAAACACTAAAATACCACAATATTTGAACTGGTTCAAAATTTAAAAAAAATATAAAACCTAACCTTTTGAGTTTAATAAGGACTTAAAGGTAAACTGAAAATATTCTCTGGCATTTTCAGTATAAATTATTTAAACATAGATAATAATATTTTATAACATTGTTTATTACAGAAGAAAATTAATAGAAGATTAAGAAATTTAATTTCCATGTCATTAAAAATGGAGGAATAAAAATAAAGTAGTAACTATAATGTACAAAAAAACTATTTTTCATTGGTCATTCAAGTTTCAATGTGTCTTTTGTAGCTAGATTCATTTTTAATTTGGTATTAAACATAATATTATAAGTTTTAAATCATCTTTAACATTCACTTTATTAATTTGTATTTAATTTAAACTAAAAAATTATACATAATTTGCACGATAGGTGCACTATTGTAGGTGAGAAGTTGGAAAGGTAGAGGGAATATTTAATGTATATATGTACGCAATGATTAAACATTGCTAACAAAAAACGATTCTGAGTGGATTTTAGTTAATAGTGTTGCTTTGTAATATTGACAAATTTCACTAAAATTTGATAATAGAATTCTTGTATAAAGAAAATAAAACATTAAACTCATTTTTTTTTTTTTTATGACAAATAAGTATGATTTATAATGAACTTTCTATTAAATTTTCCAGAATTTCAATTTGATATAACAATTTTATCCATAGAGTACCTACCAAACAAAAATTACATAAAAAAAACCGTGTAAAATTAAAATGTCTATAATCAGCTCAAACATGGCTACGTTTTGAACATTTTACCAGGTCTAGAAAAGGCAAATATAAGTTTTCTGTACAAACTACAATAATTTCTACAAATATTTTTAAATGAATCAAAACAAAACAAAAAATTGAAAACAATGCATTTCATAAATTATTTTGTTTTTCCATTTATTATAAAAACAACTGAAAAAATGACCTCCCTAATGTACCACAAGAATAAATTTCCTTTCAGAAAAAGTGCTACACTTGAAAATCGAAGCAAAATTGCTGGTAGAAAAGTTTTTCACAGAAAGAAATAAATAAAAATAAACATCATTGTAAAACCAATACATTCCTCGCTTTGCTCAGAATCTAAAATATACATTTATTATTAAATTGTACGTACGATTTTCTTCTTGATTGTCATTTAGTTGATTAGCTTTATTTGTACTATTCGGAAACTCTATAATATTTGGATCATAACTCTGCACTTGGCGTTTTTTCTTAGGTGAAGGAGAATCATTTTTAGAAACACTAAAACAAATTGATATTAAATAATTTGAAAAATATGTTAAAACTAAAAATAGTATAGCTGACTCAACATACGCCTTAATAAATACAATATTTTGTAAGTTATTTTCAAATTCAATCATAGTTTGGATTTGTTGCTCATTTTTAATTTTAGATTGTTTTTTTTCTGGCTGAACTGTACAGTTACAATTTTCTTTCTTATCATTATCAAAATAAAATATGTCTTTTTTACTGACAGTATAAGTTTCAGACAAATCTTTAATATCAACGCCTGAAAAATAAGTTAATATTAATATAAAAATTAAATTTATGACAGAAATAGTAATGATTAAATAATTTAAACTTACTATTCTGACAATAATCCCTTTTCAGTAAAGAATCCCAAGATATGTTATTTGATGAATATATAATTCTATAGCCAACAATTTTACCATTGGGCTCAACTGGAGGCAACCATTCAATGGTTATACTATCAGAGGTTTCAGATACCACATGAAGAAATTGTGGAGCACTGGGAGCTGTAAGAAACATAGTACAATATTTAGAATGTATGAAAATATATTAAACAAAAAAAAACATACTTCCTGGCATTGTGCGAAAGTAATTTATTTCACTTTGAGCACCATTAGATTCTGAAGCCATTGTATATGTTTTTACATAATATGCATACTGTGTGTATGGTTTTAAACCTGTCAGAAGTGCAACTAAATCAGATACAGTTTCTGTTGATTCAACATCATCAGTCTTCCATCTAGGCATATAATTTATTAAATTACAATTAAAAAGTATAAATTTACATCATATGAAATTAAAATTTACCCATCTCCTCCACAAGCATCTCGGCCGTCATATAAAGAAACATTTTGATATGGGGCTTCTAAATAATAAATTACATATCCTAACAATGTACGAGTATCATAATGAGAATAAGGTGACCACTTTAAAATAACAGAATTTGATTTAATAACTTCTGTAGAAACATTAAGTACTGAGACTTTACCTGGAAAATAATATATCAATAAAAAATAAAAATAATTTTTTTTTTTTTTAAATATTATATTTATTCTCACATGCTATTTTATCGCCATTGGAATTTGGTGCCACTTCTAAATCATCAACTACTTTAAATCTATCACCTAATTTTGTTTGTAATTGTTTTATTCTATATATACAAAGTTTTGGATTGAAGTGAAAAAATATCTGTCCTCTTTCAATTTGTAATTCACCATCAGGCTTTCGAGTATTCCAATCCCATAATTCAACTAAATTTTGATTATCTAATACAACTAATGCATACCTTAATAAATATAAAAAAATATACATTTATTTTAAATAAATAGTGCATACATGAAAAATATTTTATATATTTTATAAGATATTTACTTAGAACTTTCTAATGTTTCTCCTCTAATGACATGTAATTTTCTTAAGAATGTTAATGATACTAATGGAAATGATCTAACTACTTTCAAATAGCCAGTAATTTCTTCAATCATACTTAAACTTTCTTCTAATTCTTTGACTATATTCACTAAAACATGAACATAAATAAATACAAATACATAAATAATAAAATTAATATTTTAAGTTATTATTTAACATTTCATTAATTTTTTGATGTTTTGAAAAACTATTCAACATCCATGATCAAGTTTAAGGAGCTAAAGTTTACTGCAAATTTGGCTATAATTATTAATAAAAAAAAAAAATAAATATTAATATATATGTTCATTATCTTGAAAATATTAACTTTTTTTAGAATTTGTTGTTTAGAACAATTACAAAACAAACAGCTCTAAAATATTTCATGAACATAATTTTTTGTCATCCTAATTGTAGAAGACTATTACCAACTTTTGATTTTCAAATAACAATGCATAAAAAAAAATTTCAATGAATGAAATTTTAGTTAAAATAAATTCTGGTGTTAGCATTTTTAATTTCTATCAAACAGATGAAATAAGTATGCAGTTTTTTTAGGTAAGTGGAAAGTTGTGTAAGATTTTTCGAAAGCTGCACCATTACACAAATAATGCTCCACTAATCTACCAGTTTAGGAATATTTTGCCAATGAACAAGAGATTGATATAAATATCTTTAACACCACTAAACAATATTAATACATTTGTTGAACATGTTTTCAGCTGTATGAATAGTTTGTGTTTTCATTTAATACATTTTAATAAAAATGAATTAAATGCTTTAAAAAATACCTCTAAATATAAATGTACCTTAATATAACTTTAATAGAAATATTTAATTTGTTTTCATTATTTTATACTTATAATCAATTTATTATTTTAAAATGATCTGTATGATTACCTATTTAATGTAATAATATAAACATTGAATTAAAATTTCATACAAAATGATGACCTTTTTGGTAACCCTAGATTTATGTTAATAATAGTAGTTTGACGAATATTGAAAACATTGTTAAGTTACATTAGATGCACTGTTATTATAAAAATAAAAATACACCTCCTTTATATCTTAAAAAAAATTCTAGATAAACATCATCCACATAGTTTGATCACATTTTACAAATGAAAATAACGAAATATAACAATAACTAGGGTAACACAGGATAAAGCAATAATTATAAATTAAACATATTTAAGTATTATATAATTTGTGATAACTAAGAAAAAGTAAAATGATAATAAAAAATCAACTCGCAAAAATTTCTGCCAAGCAGTGTCAAAAATATAATTTCAGAGTAAGGTCACATAGTACCATATTGAACTTTGACATGCCCTAACATTCCCAGTGTATCTATGATATCAAGCCTACCAGAGCCACAAGTAAAAAAACGTGTTTTAGAAAGCTTTACACTAATAGGCTCCAAGATAGATCAGCCTGTAACAATCGAAATGGTGAACACACTAAACCAAATTAGAAAATTCAATATTAATTCAATGATAACTCTAAAAGCAATAAACTTGATCATGTATGTTGATACACATTTTATTTTTACTTACTACCACCACGTATTTGTATTTCCAATGATCCATTAATAATAACACATCCTTTTAATTTCTGTGCCGACTGTATACTTTCTACATTTGCTGCAATGCACACTTTACGGCATGGTCCTACATATATATCAAAAAACCAATGTATTATTATATCTACTTTTAAATTAATATTATACAAGTAATAAATTTACCTGAACATTTTTCACATTTAAAAACATTTCCATAACTATTATCAGTTGGAACTTCTTCAAAACCAGGAGGACATTCCACTAAACAATATGTATTATTAAATGGTTTCCATGATTGTAAATGTAATCCATTTTGTGAGTCTACTCTTGATTTTGGCATACGATAACAGTCAAATTCCGAAACACAACGCCTATTTTGATACTACAAAATAAAAACATTAATTATATATAACTCTTTTGGTTAGTATTTTTGTGACTTACTATCAATGTACCAGGTGGACATTCTTTCACACAATCTCCATCATCTTCTAAATATTTACAAACATAACAATCATTTTGCTTAGGACCATTACAATCTCCAAGACACTGTTCATGACAACATTCTCCATCCGGACGACAACTATTATTACCACATTCCGGCAAACAAACTAAAAATAATTTATAATTTATAAAATTTTACAAATATTTAACTCATGAAGAAAAAAAAACTGGCATTATTCACTTCTTTGACAATGATCAGTATTCCAACATAGAGGTTCATTAGTATTGTGGGAAACAGCACAATTTGCATCATTTTTCCAAGGACAAACAGGACATGCATTTCCAGGACGATTATCCTGGTAACAAAAATTATAAATATATATAAAAATGATTAACATTTGAAATATCTATTTGTATACATTTTTATAGTAAAGTCAAATATTTACATAGATATTGTGCGATTCTTTTCCAGATGGTGCAATTCGTATCCAGTCAATAGTTTGTGTAAAACAAAGCATTGGATTCTTAGTAATGTAAACAGCGCCTCTAACAATATTCATTAAATTGTATAATCCCAATTCTTCCAAATGAACCATTTCATAAATTGCAATGGCATATGACATAAATAAATCTTGTCCTCGAATTACTGACAAGTTAGGGAAAAGTTTTGCAAGTGACTTTAATCCATTTACTCTATACAATAACAAATAACCAGTAATTTCACGTAATTCAGGAAATGATTGCGACTCAAAACTCGTTTCATTTGCATTATCAATTAAAACTATTTGAAGAAATCCTTCAATTACTCTGCAACCACGTAGACTTTTTAGATTCTCTGCTTTATTTCTAATGTCTTTACTTTGACATACTACAAAAATATAAATAAATTAATATTATTTTAAGTAAAATAACTAAACAATTATAATAACTCTAATTAAATTAAACTTACTTCTCGTATGTATAATGTTGGGTTCACTAAAATTAGTAGTTGATTGTGTAGACGTAATCTGTGTATGATACTGTTCTGCGGAAGCTTGACTAACAATAAGTATAACAACACACCATAGGGCTATACAAAGAAAATCAGACTTCCACACAGATTTTGATGTTAACAACCATGATTTTCGGTAACGTTTTGGTGATACTTTGGAAAATTTGTTTAGAGTTAAAGGTCTTGAATAGTTGTAATGTTCATGGTATATATTGGAAGAAAAATTCCCACATAGTCGACATCCACCCACGCCAGGGCAGCTGTCACGTAAACAGCGTATTTCGTCAAACTCACCACACATTATAATACAATGTTTTTACATAGTAAATCTGAAAAATATTATAAACAATTATAAATAATAATTATTATTATTAGTATGTTTATATAAGTTACTCATTATTTTTGACCAAATAAAACAAGCTCGATAAATAAAAAAAATAAATATAATATATGCTAGTGGTTTTATATATCCTCTGTGGAATGCAATAAGATTGGTTAAAATACAATAAGTTTCTGTTAAAAATAAACAGGATTTAAATTTTACCATTTTTGTTGGTAATGAACTAAATATGCTGTTAATATGTTGTGGCATACAATACATTTTAACTACTCGTAAGGTATTTATTTACAACTCAATAGTCATGAACCTGAGTTTTATATAGATAAATAGATCTTAATAAAAAAAATAATAGATTAAATCTAAATTTATATAAATAGATAAATTATAATAAAAACATATATTCTTTGAAACCAACAAAATATATGCTTGGTTTCAATGAAAATTCTTGAATTTCCATGAGTAATAAAATATAAAAATTGTATGTGCCAGACTCAGACACCGATAGGTATATTATTATTTTAAATTATAGTATCACATGAATGTACTAAATTTAAATTTGAAAAATTGCTTCATTTATTTGTATAGGTTTTTCATATTTAACTATCTTTTGAAAATGTATTTAATATTAAGAATAGTTGGGTTATGTTATGACATTATGGCCATTATCCCTGGTTTGCCCACTCAAATTTTATTTTATTCCTAAATAGTATAATTTTGTAAGTTGACAAGCCATTTGATTATTGTTGTATCCATTTACAATAATGAATTTACTTGGTAATATCAATTATTACAAAACAATAGATAACATAAAATGGCCATAAAATGAGAAAATGAAATTTTAAAATGTTAATACTAATTTTTCATTCAATAATGTTCTTCAGACTTTGAAATTTGAACTTAGTAACTATTTGTAAACTTGTGTATTTATGGTTTAGTTTTAATTTTTTTCAATAATTATAAAAGATTAAATAGATCAAATGAAATATTAATAGAAAAAATTCTTAAGATGGACTATAGGTGGTGACTTCACCATAATTAATATTAAATAATGAATTAGGTATTTTTTACGAATTAAATATTGAAACTCTAAATTTTCACAAAAGAGGTTTTTAAAACAAAAATGACATTTGTGTTAAAATAATATTTATATTAGAATAATTAAGGGCATAAATCCAAAGAAAATTGATCAATTTTATTAAAAATAATAATAAGTTCAAGCCTCGCCTCATTAATAATGTTTAAAATGCTAGGTAAGTTTAAGTTTATCAATTAAAATCAATGTATTCCAAAAAATGAATAATTAAATACCTAAATAAGATTAAAGAGATAGGTATTATTTCGTTTTTATTTTCAAGTCTTCGGATTTGTTTAATTGTTAATGCATTTAATTTTTGAAGTAGTAAAACATAAATAAATCTATAGATTAAACACAAAAAGAAACAACTAATTAACTTTGGTTTAACTATTACATGTCAGGTGATAAATTTACAAGCTATAAACTTCCTGTATTTTTTTTTTTTCATTCAGAAGACAGATTTGTACATAAAAAAGGTTTAAAAAGTTGAAAAACCGGAAAAACAACAAAAAAATTGTTTGTTAAATTTGAATTGGATGAGTGAACTGAATTATAGAGAACTAAGTACCCAACCATTCCACCTATATAACTTTCTTTTTTTCTTGGTGTTTTGAACAAATTTATATTTAATTTATTGGGTAGGTATCTATATTAAGTATTGTGTGTGATTTATCTTATTTCAAAAATGTCTAAGTTTAGTGATATTTATTTGAGATGGAATGTCCAGACCTCTCCCAGAACTGTTCCTCGCTCCATAAAAAAGGTTTGAGTTATTGTGACTTATGAATGTGAGACATGGATTGTTAATAAAAGTGAAGAGAAAAAATTAAGAGCTATGAAAATATAGCAATTACAGGAAATGGATGGAGAGAAGGACTAATGGGAAAGTGCCAATATTAGTGATGGAGAAAAAAGCAATTTTATGAAAATATTAGAATACATGTATGGAAATAATTGGACAAATAATAATATACCAATCCAGAAGATTGACACAATATCATTCTAGTCGGTATGACCAAGAAATGAAACCACAGGACGGCCGTGTAACTTGTTCAAAGGAAAATTAAAGGAAGATACGGGAGTTACCTCATATAGGGATTTTAAGGAAATTCAAATGCTCAGTTGAAGTGGAAAATGGGTAACTGTAAACCAGATACAAAAAAATTAATATCTGTACCTACAATAATATAATAGCAAATAAGTTGAGTCTGTGAAAAATATTTCATCTTATAATAGGTACTTATCTATTTGCATTTTTTTTTTCTAAGAGTAGTATTCTTAGAATATTCAGCAAATCTTATAAAATTGAATCTATATTAAAATTCATTAAGACTCAAGTTTAATAATTATTTTTATTCAGAGTTAAATGAAACAATAAGACATTCAATTATCTTTCAAAAGCAATCCTAATTAAAAATTCACTTTCTAAGTCACCACTTCAACAATAAGATTCTCCAGCAAACATAATACTAATGTTTTTTTTCCATATTTTCCAAATTATTTATAGTTAAACGTTAGTCCTTAATATGCTGAACCTATAGTAACAATAATGTGCTAAATTATTCAACAGAAAATACTCCCTATGGGACTCATGGACAATTTTCAATTTCCTTAATACCTATCTATATATTACTTATATTTTACTGTAATAACTATAATGCTGCAATACAACCAAACAGACAAAAATAAGTTTTAATCTAATCAAGTAAATACTATAAATATCATGTTCATCAATTTTGAATATGGTTTTCCATTTAGGTAGTTATATTCTAAATACTTAAATAAATTGTTGTAATTATGTACTATTGGGTTAATAGATATATATCTACTCAAATAAAAATAAATAACATATTATACCTTATGCAGCATTTTATTCACAAATAAGAAATTAATTTTTAGCATCTGTCACACTAATATTTAGGTAGTTAGTTATTTTATAAACTATTCCTATTTTTGTTTTTATTATTATTATTATTCAATTTGGTTAGTATGTGTGTAAGTAAATTTATCAAAATATTTGTTAAACAAACCCTAGAGAAATATGTTTACTGTACCTAGCAAAATAACAGTAATGTAGCTGTAAAATATTTAAAAAAAATGATTTCCATTGAAACCTATAAAATACTTTTATTATTATTAATAAGGAGATAGGTACCGATTTCAAATAAAGTTTTTTTTTGTTTGTACTTACTCCTCAACAGGCACATTTATTTTGAATTTGCTTTTTAACAACATTTTATCAACCCATACATAAATGATAATTCCGACTATTTTGGAATTCCATATGTTCATCCTCGTTGACACTGGTGACATCTAAGATAGCTTTATCCAGAGCTTTATCAATGACATTGTTCATGAATCAGTTGAAGAGATTGAGTTTGGTGGATTAGATAGTATCAATGACACCATTGCCAATGTCATCACAGATGAAGGAAGGTGAATTAAGAGTTTAGATCATGTACTATTACATATAGGTACATAATGTGTATGATCTAAGACAGGGAGGAACAGTATCAAAACCAGAGATAAAGCCACAGGAAATTTTATCTATATTAACTTGTATCTATTAACAAACATTCCAAAACTGTATAATAACTCTTAGAATGATCATACCACAATTGTACAACTGTATTACAATTTTAAAATTGCAGCCTTTTATATAACAGGTATTGATTGGTACATAATAATTGCATTGCATTTATTACTATCCAACAAAGGAGAGTCAACTAAATCTAGGTACTAATTTATAATTATCGACCTCCATATTTCCTTACCCATAACCATTACTTCATCTATACTACACACAAAACTTTAGCCACTTTTTCCTTGACCTACCTACTTCTTCTATACCTACTCATTTCTAATTCTATCCAACCTGATCATACAACATAACCACCTTTAAATTATTTTAAAATAAAAAAACAACAACATTATAATAGTATTCTTTGATTACCTATATACATATTAATTAAATCATTTCTTAAATCGCCTATAAAATAAGACAAGTTCACAATAACAAAACTAAGTAGTATACATTGGTTGTGATGCAAACAAATTGTAAGTGGCCTACATACCAAAAAGCTCTTAAGAAATACTATGTACTATTTGTTACCTAATAATCAATTATAGTTAATACCACTTGACTGATCTTTAAGACTTACTGCAAGCTCAGGTGAGGTACAAATAAATGCAATAAACAGAAATGTGGATAAACCTAATATTGCTACAAATCTACAATTACTTATGCACACATTCAAAATCAGATCAAAACAAGACAAATAAAATAAAACTATTATCTACTGCTCACCAACAAAATATTATTAGATGTTTTAAAAATATATATATATATATATATAAAATATGTAAATGTACAATTTGTCGACAATCAATATTTAATTTATATTTTGACTATTAGGGCATTCAGTCAATAAAATAGTAAAATATCAATAATAAGAAGTAAATAATAACATTGTATAGATACCTATTGATAATCAGTATCTACTGATAATTCTACTTATCAAAACATTGTGTGGACGTAAAATAATATTTTTTTAGACTTAAGAATCCTTGTAATAATATGTTTCATTTCAATTTGTTTACATTATTAATCACGAGTACGTGCTAATCTGTTTTTTTTTTTGACCCGACGATTATGCAACACCCTTAAATTATATTATTATTCGACCATATTCGGTACACAATATCTTTACGACATTATTACTATTTATTATTGATTTTATAATATTGAATTAACCAAGGACGACAAAAAAAAAAAAAATAGACACATTAGGCTCGCATGAACTGTACCTATACATTATCTTACAACAAAAACTAGGGACTTACTTATTAATGGTAGTGTTGTGACGCACTTATCCGTTGGAATTAGAATACTGTGGCGGCGGGTCGCGAACGCACACTTGTTTTTGTTAACAAATGAAGTAAAACACTCGAACAGCCGCGGCGGAGTACGAAAATATAATAATATTATTGTTGTTGTTACTGCGCGGTAGTCGTACGCGAATTTGTATATTATCTGCTGAACTCGTTTCCGCGATATCACAATATTATTATTATTATTATTATTATTATTGTCGTCGTCGTTATTATTATAGCACGTAGTAGCTGATGCTGCGGCGGTGTAATAACAATAATAAGTAGCAGTATTAGTACGACGACGACGAGACATGTATACTAGGTATACGGGAGACGACGGCGACGATAATAACAATATATTACAATAATGTTGCAAGTATAACAACAACGCTTTCGAGTGTTGTTGTTGTTGTTGTTATTATAATAATAATATTATTGTTATTATTATTATTATATATATATATTATAGCGTTTAGTGTTATTGTTGTTAAGTTGTTATGCGAAAACACATTTTTTTAAAAAAATTTTCAAAACACTGCGGAGGACGTTGCGTTTACCGGAAAAATGCACGCGGGACGCGCGTTGCTCCGCCATAGTTGTCAACACGAAACGCACCGCGGCAGCGGCGAAAAGGTCATTGACACCGGGGCCCGCCGATGCGATCAAAACAACACGGCCGAATATCATAACGGAAAAACCCGATTCGTCGTACGCGGGCGCGCGTGTGTGTGCGTGTGGGGTTTCGTTCGTTTGTGCCCGTAAATATCAATTACGTTACACTTATTATAACAATAATAATATTATATCGAGTATTAATTGTTCGGGGTGTGAAATATCCACTGTGTATTTTATTGATATTATTGTTTATTACGTGCGCGTGTAATGTACAATAATATGTTATGCGATCGCACGATGTACCGTGTACACTATAATAGGTTGTACCACTACTATTATCACGGTAGGTACTGCGGTTGTACACGGCGAGCGAGTACCGGTTGTACGAGGACGGACAACGCTGGATGTGTGCACGACGGTGGACGACTGCGACGATGACGAATTGACGACGACGACGATGACGAGAACGACGGCGGCGGCGGCGACGGCGGCAGCAGCGACGACGACGACGACGTGACACGACCGACCCGTCCGACGAAATCGATGTTTGTTATAATAATAATAATATGCCGTATTTATGCACTCGGGTTTATTTTTCTAATGAATGAATACCAGAATACAATATACATATATACACGCGTAGCGGTGTCGGGTATATAGTATTATTGTTACGGCGTATTTATATGTATATAATGTATGTATGTACCGTATATATATATATATATACACACACACACACCATGCGTATGTCACGTTTTTTTTTTTTTCCCCCCGTCGCGTACAATCTTCTCCGCGTACATACAAGTAAATATGGTTCACGCCGCGATAACGCTCTTTTTTTTTTATCAATAAATAATATAAATTATGTTACGCGTTTTACAATAAAATACAATAATAATACTATACACGCGTATTATGTATTTATTATCGTTATGCGTTCACGTGTGTGTGTGTAAATAAAACTTCAACGGCACACCGGGTCCGATCTACTATCAGCAGCGAGCAAACACACTGCGCGTACGTGTGATAATAATAACACAATAACACACGAAACGAGATAACACCGGCCAGCGGATTTCGCACTACTACGCGCAACAACCACTACACGACACTCGGACGACGCGGACGTACAGCTGATAATAGACGAGAGAAAAAAAAAATGTTTATCACGCGAAATTTGAATTTATAAAAAAATTATAAAACACAACATTTATCGTGCAATAATGGCATCGAATTACACGGCGAGGAGGCGTACACGGGTTCGACGGCGGCGCAGACAAGTGCGTCGCTTCGCGCACGTTTTATGCACAACAACAAACGGTCAACTCGACAAACGCGCATATACACACTACGAGTACGATACGGCGGCGGCGACGTCGACACGGACGTCAGACCAGACAAAACAACGTCCCCCCGTCGCCCCGCGCCCACCGCCGACGACCCCGTTGGTAGCTGGGCCGTCCCCACCGTCACTATAACTACCGCCGCGCCGGCAGTTGTTGTTATTTACATCGACGACGACGAGTCGGACTCGGAACGGGGTTATGGGGAAAATATGTGAAACCGTAATCTAGATTAAGGGGCGTGCAGACGTGCAGTTGTGGCCCGCGCCGTCGCTACGCGCATTTCCACTGCAGGCATCTGCCTCGGCCGCGGTATTGCGTGCACCGACCGATCATTGCTCTGCGTTGCATTTTTTTGTGCGCGCGAAAAGTGCATAATAATAATAACGATCGCGGATCGACGTCGATCATTGTCGTGATGTGCACAATAAAATATACAATACACCGGATACATTATTATAATACCTACCTAGATAGATATGTTGTCCGTGTCCGCGAGATCCGTTCCGATAATGTCATTAGATAAGTATGAAATAATTACCGCAGAACCGGATTAAGGAAAAATTCTCCTAGTGACAGTGACGACGGAGGAGTAGGGGGGCAAACGTGTAATTTCACCTACGACCCCCCACCCTAATACAATAAAATACATATATGTATATTTATGAACACGCCTAACTAAAACAAATATTATTTAAATTCAATTTGCATTAATATTATTTATTGATCTCGACACGAACGAAAATAATTACATTTTAATAATTAAAATGTCTAGTAGGTAAATAAAATTATTTCGTTGTTTTCATAACTGATATTTAGGTTTCAAAAGAAAAATATTGAGGATGTAGAGGGGAAATTTAATGTTTATCTGTAGTCTATACGCAACGATTAACCATTGCTAACAAAAAACGATTCTGAGCGGAATTCGGTAAATAGTGTTGCTTTGTCAACAATATAATATAATGTGTCGTATTATGGTGAAATAATTACAACATATGTACATTATATGTTTTCTTTAATAATATTTGTTGAAAATTGTATCTGTTTTTCCCGTGTTTTCTCTCGGTTTTCCCATTTATTATGAAAATCGCTGGGAAAATAAAAAAAATGACTTCATTAAAGTACCACCCTAGTTTAATTTTATTTAAAAAAATGTATCATTTTAAATCTGAACAAAATTGCTGGTAAAAAAGGTGTTCACACTCATACAAAAAAAGAAATAATTATAAAAAATAAATATCAATTTAAAACAAATACATTCCTTGCTCCGCTCAGGATGTAAACACAGTCAAAATCGATAACAATTCTGTGCCATTAAATTTTTAACTATAGACTTGGTAAGTTAAGTAACCTTAGCTAGTACTATTGAATACTAATATGTTATGTATCTATGTTATAAAAATTTAATGTTTTTAAGTTATGTTAGCATCCAAGGATGTGCTAAAGCCATGGCTTGGAACGGGCTGTAATGCAGTTCCGATTTACAAAGGAAAAAAGTTTTATTATTCCTATTAAACGAACCATTGTATGTCGTGGTAGGAAATTATGGGTCTCCGGAAAACTTATGTTTTTAGCATTTTCCTATGTGAAAAAGTAGTTCATGTGTTTCTAATAGCAATGATTTTATAAGAAACGTTGGTTCATGAGTGCTCTACCGCCGCTCTTTTTTTTTAACAATAAAAACAAATTACAAATATTTTGTTAATTCGTACAAAATTTGCATTTTTTCTTTTTCAAGATCATCCTGTAGTTCAAACTCTTCTCCATCTCTCTCTATCTTTAATTTTTTCCTACCACTTTTGCATCTCTTCTCTCAATAGGCGCAACTAAGATACAAATTCTGGGGGGGACTATAGCCCCAAAAAAATTTATTTGCTTCAATTTGAAATGTAATATTATATTAGTTTTATAATCAAAAAATAAATACAAATGATTGTTATAAAATATTATATTTATTTTATATTCGTCGGCCTATTAATTTATTATATTTTTCAATGTGTCATTATTATTTATATTATTTGACATATCCTTTTCAATATTTATAATAGTCAAGTTTGAAAACTCATCTTGCACCACTGATGTCCTCAACCAATTTTTAATGCATCTCATACAAAGAAGGTAGCTCGCATGTTGTAGAACTCATCGATGTTAGAGCTACTTGTAACAGTTTGTATGTTTGGTAACGTATACTACTTCACAATGTTTTTGATAGTGTCTAATTCAAAGTAGGTTTTTAAATTTAATATATAATTTTTTATACACAGTTTTTCAATTAACACACTTATGTGTGATACATGTGTTTATGTGTGAATCGGCTGATTCCTCATCAATCATAGTACTAGTATAAGCCATAAGGTCTATGTCGTCCATAAATAATTTATAACAATGTAGCCAACACCTAAATAGGTGTATTTTTTACATAGTGAAAAATACATTTTTGTTTTCACAAAAATTAAAAAGTCACTTGACAAAAAAACTGAAAGGACTTAACCCTCCTAGCCCCCTCTAGTTGCGCCTATGCTTCTCACACAATCTTTCACCTTTTGCACTGCCTACGATCTGTCGGCATTTTTTCTATCGAATCTTCTTCAATTGCCGTTTTTATCGAATATAGGGAAAAAAAGCCAATTTATTTATTATATTAATAATTTTAACAGTTAATAATGGCAGTAGCATTTTATACTTTTATAATAATGAATGTATTATGGTTTGTATTGTTTACTGATGCCGTATAGAAACATTTTTTAATATTAGTTAGTATTGATTGTATAATGTAAATGTTTTTTATTTTTATTTTTACTAAAATCTTCATTTAACTTATTTTCAACTTCAGTTACTTTTCTGGTGAGAAAATTAATGGTTGGTCGGGGAAAACCGTCAGTGAAAACAAAAAAAACTTAAAACATGGTTTATAGTATAAAAATTACCCTGTGCAAAGTATACACATGGTATTTACAGATATAATACATAAATCGATTTCTAGATAATATGTTGCTTATCCACAAAATACCTAGTTAGGTACCAGTGTACCACTTTATTTTTGTTTGGTTTATGACATTTATTGGCATTCTTCTGAGGGAAATTCCCTTAAAACCTTTCTCGTGGATATAACTGGATTATAAACTACTTTCAGTCCCACGCGTCTATCTCAAGAGTTAAGATTTATCTTTAAAATATAAAAAAAAAATATAATACTTTTATTTATCTTTTTTTTCTGACTATCGTTTTTATCATATGTTTCAATTTGTCCGCCAAGCACACCTAGCCCAATTTATATTATATCATAAACAACAATTTATATTATAAATTATATAATTTAATAAATAAATTTATTTTCTTTTTTAAAGTTAAAATATCAAAAAAAACACATAAATAAATAATTTATATGTAGAAATTAATTAATTAATTAATGCGTCACCTGGAGTATTATGATATGTGTATTATACGACCGGTTTCGAATTAAAAATTCATCGTCAGGAAAATCTCTAAGTCAAAAAGTAAACGCAAAACTCCAGGCGAACATCCATTTATTTCCACATATAAATTATTTATTTGTGTATGTATTTACGACTATTAATTATTTAATAATTTTGTTTTTACTTTATTATTTAAAATATCAATTTAATGTATGTATCTGTTATACAAAACTTTATAGCCACTTAGTCAACAATAAAAATTAAACAAAAAGTTGGAAGGATCGTAAGATCTGAATGCAACTTTAAATCATTATACTTACGCAAAACGTTTCTGAGCAAAGTTCGGTTAAATAAGTTTTGAAATGCCGAGAATAAAAACAATTTACCTAATTTACCTAGGTATTAATTTTCAATATATTCGATCGTAAATTTACATTATTTAATGATAATAAATCATTTTTTATAAATGCAGACAAACCTACAACATTTCACAATTCTTGCAAGTTATCTCTTTCAATAAATACCTAGTTATTTTTATTTTTTTATTTAAGTTCAACTGAATAGCTAGGTTGCACTGAACATATATTTAAATTATATATACGCATATACTCAGTATTGGTGTGTCCAGGATAGAAAATTTATGAGATTATAACATCCTCCCCACCCCGAATTGTAACTGACAAATACTTGTAATAAGGTGTTTGAGAAATACCTCATACATATTGTGTATCTTTACATGTATTATAGAGTGATTTTTTTACCATGAACCAGCAATTATCTCAGAGGTCATAGATAGGAAATTCATTACCCTTCCCTATTCCTCCGGTCTAAACTTTAAACTGTTATAACTCATAAACGGTAAATCTGATATTAGTGTTATGCATATCAAAATGTTTAGAAAAATATTCTTTATTTAAATCTGTGTTCAAAAGGGGGGGTTCCTATTTGAAAATCAAAAGTATGCACTTATTTAAGGTATGTGGAGTAGGGGTAAAAAAAAAATGGTTTTAAAATAAAGCTTAAATGATTCTATAATAGTTAGAAAAAACAGAAATAAAATTCACTCAAAATCCTCTTAGATAATTGCTGATTCATGATAAAAAAAATTACCCTGTATACTTTTTACGAATTTTTTCTAAATTTAAACTTCAAAAGTTTCTCAAAATAATTACTGCTTAAAAATAAGCATTTCTGTTCGGCCAAAACAATTATATACATATAACATCAAAAAAAACGAATGTCTATAAAAGCATAAACATTTTACCATGTCTAGAAAATAATAATATAAGTATTTTGTAAAAATATCAAGTCTCTACGACTATTTTTAACCTAATTACTACAAATAAATGGACATTTTCATTTTCACACTTTTATGTCAAAATTTAACATTTGTTAAACAATTTATTTTACTAAACAAACAAAATTGTCAATCAAAAAATTATTGATGGCATTAAACTTTCAAATTTTTCCTGTGTTTCTTCCTCATTATTGCGAAATACATCCTAAGTTGCAATTGAATTTCAGAAAAGATGTTATACTTGAAAATCAGAGCATTATTTCTTATAGACAAGATAAAGAAAAAAAAAAGCATACATTATAATAAACTAAAGCGGTATTTAAACAGATTCTTACAATACTTTTAAAATGATTCACAATGTTCATTAATTTCTTTGTTCCTATAGGTTATATATGTTTAAACATGACTAAGGCAAACTATCCATGTGTAGTCAAATAAGTCAATGTAATAAAACTATATATTATAATATTTAAACCATGACTAAAGTATACATATTAACTATTTAGTCATCCTCATAATTTTATTGTAGATATATATTTCTTCAAAAAAAGTATTAATCACCACCTATATCACTTATTTGCACTATATGGCGTCACCTTATATTAACTCAAATTCATTCTAATCGATATTGATTTTAAACTAATAATCTACAGCTTATAGAAATCAATTTAAAATTCAAATTAGTGAACAACTCTTCAATTAATACACGTAAGCAGAGGCCATTTTAACATTTCACTACGCGAAATTGAGAGTTCGGCTACATTATTTCCTTAACCCTTCCCTCGGTTCTAAACAAAATTTGAATTTGCTGAACATTTTTCCGATCATTTTAAATTTCAGTATCGTCATTTTTGAACAAAGCCGTGTAAAAATATATGAAATAATTTAATTTATACCTGTAAAATTTGCTTAAAAATTAAAATTTTGAGTGAAATTCGGTTGTACATATTTTTAAACGCTTTAATTTTTACGATGTTCGTTAAAATATTAATTGAATCGCTTGTAAAAAAAAAAATATAACAATAAATTAAATTAAACTAAAATAAAATTCTGATTCTTGGGTAAAATGTCCGATCATTTTTCCTCACAATAATTTCAAATTTCTCGTCTATAAAAGTCTAACTTTTTCCATGAAATAATATTCCAGAAGTATCCAAGACATACTCAATTCTATACTGACGCTTCTAAAAAAATAAATGGCAATGGATTTGCTGTAGTCACTGAACTCAATAATTACATATACTCTTTACCACTCAACACAAGTAAATACAAGAGTCATGCTTTCCTCTACCCGACTTGTGGCCTTACAATATTTCAATTTTTTTTTTTGTTTATTTATATTCACTATATTTACACCTATTAATTGTTTTCACAGTTTACTACTATGAAAAAAAATTTAAAATAATTATCCTCTAACCTCCCGGTAATAATAAGAAGTTTTACAAAACATTTTTATCAAAATAGGTTAGGTTAAATAGTTCTTGAGATTTTAGGTAACTCATAAACAGACGGTGGGGTCAGTTAATATATTTTAACTTTGTTACTTACTTTCATGAGTCTGTAACTTGCAAGGGTATTAACCCATTATTTTCTGTGAAAATATGAAATTTGAGCATAAAAATGGTTGAGGAGATTGAAAGTTCAAATCACCAAAAGGCATTTCCTTGTTACTTACTGCAGGCTTACTGCATGCATTATGCAAAATTTTATCTTCTTGGCCTCATTTGGTGGGTCTTCTATAGGGATGTAAAGGCTAATTATTTGGTCAAATAAAAAATATTATATTAGACCCTCTGCCAGGTTGTCAGGTGCCGTGCCTTCTAACCGCCAGACCAACTGACTAA